GTATAAAGTGTATAATGTGTACTAATACTGCAGTATAAAGTGTATAATGTGTACTAATACTGCAGTACAATGTGTACTAATACTGCAGTATAAAGTGTATAATGTGTACTAATACTGCAGTACAATGTGTACTAATACTGCAGTATAAAGTGTATAATGTGTACTAATACTGCAGTACAATGTGTACTAATACTGCAGTATAAAGTGTACAATGTGTACTAATACTGCAGTATAATGTGTATAATGTGTACTAATACTGCAGTATAATGTGTATAATGTGTACTAATACTGCAGTATAAAGTGTATAATGTGTACTAATACTGCAGTATAATGTGTATAATGTGTACTAATACTGCAGTACAATGTGTACTAATACTGCAGTATAAAGTGTATAATGTGTACTAATACTGCAGTATAATGTGTATAATGTGTACTAATACTGCAGTACAATGTGTACTAATACTGCAGTATAATGTGTATAATGTGTACTAATACTGCAGTACAATGTGTATAATGTGTACTAATACTGCAGTATAAAGTGTATAATGTGTACTAATACTGCAGTATAAAGTGTATAATGTGTACTAATACTGCAGTACAATGTGTACTAATACTGCAGTACAATGTGTATAATGTGTACTAATACTGCAGTACAATGTGTACTAATACTGCAGTATAAAGTGTATAATGTGTACTAATACTGCAGTACAATGTGTACTAATACTGCAGTACAATGTGTACTAATACTGCAGTATAAAGTGTACAATGTGTACTAATACTGCAGTATAATGTGTACTAATACTGCAGTACAATGTGTACTAATACTGCAGTATAAAGTGTAGTTTAATCAATATTCATGTATTTAAGGTTCCGTTAATATTTAAAGTGGAACGGTAGGAACCCACCGGTGTTTTTTTTCCTGGTGGGAACACTTCCGCTGCGGCACGCTGACCCGTACGTCACTTCCTGTGAATCTCTGATAAAGACGGCCTGGCGGCGCTCCGCGGGTCAATTTTTTGAGTCAGTTCTGAGAATCCGGCGGGAATCGGAGCCATCAGAACCGCAGACATGGTGAGTGTTTACCGGACAGAGAGCCCACCGGCTGCCCGCCGCGGCGGACACCGTATTATTACCCGTTAACGGTCGGTGTAACAACGGCGGGAGTTTGAATAGACGTCGGCTGATCGTCGGTGCAGAGCTGCAGCTCAGCGCGAGGCGGTTCAATTATCACATAATCAATCATCAATAATCAATCAGAGAGTGTGTGTGTGTGTGTGTGTGTGTGTGTGTGTGTGTGTGTGTGAACAACAACCGTGTGTGTGTGTGTGTGTGTGTGTGTGTGTGTGTGTGTGTTTTGTGTGTTTAACGGGAGGCCGTTAGCCGTTAGCCGTTAGCTCTCCCGTTAGCACCGGTTCGTTTGGTAACATGAATGTAAAATGTTCCCGCCCTTTGAAACAATGACTCGTTTACATTGATAGTTTATACGGTGCTCTGAGCTAACGATGCTAACGATGCTAACTGAGGTAGACGGCGTCCTCAGGTGAGGTGGACGGCGTCCTCAGGTGAGGTAGACTGCGTCCTCAGGTGAGGTGGACGGCGTCCTCAGGTGAGGTGGACGGCGTCCTCAGGTGAGGTAGACGGCGTCCTCAGGTGAGGTGGACGGCGTCCTCAGGTGAGGTGGACGGCGTCCTCAGGTGAGGTAGACTGCGTCCTCAGGTGAGGTAGACGGCGTCCTCAGGTGAGGTGGACGGCGTCCTCAGGTGAGGTAGACGACTGCGTCCTCAGGTGAGGTAGACGGCGTCCTCAGGTGAGGTGGACGGCGTCCTCAGGTGAGGTAGACTGCGTCCTCAGGTGAGGTAGACGGCGTCCTCAGGTGAGGTAGACGGCGTCCTCAGGTGAGGTGGACGGCGTCCTCAGGTGAGGTGGACTGCGTCCTCAGGTGAGCTTACTGCCGCCACCTGAGACGTTGCCGCAGCGCGTAATATAGATCCAACGAATCGATGACTAAATTAATCGCCAACTATTTTATTATCGATTTAATCGATTAGTTGTTGCAGCCCTAAACAGCAGAGAGCAGCTGATCACCTGATCAATGAACCAATAACTGCAGTTTATGTCCTGTAAATATTGATCAGAGATTAGTTTTAATAATCTTTATTGATACAAACTGTTTGTTCTGTATTTATATTATGTTAGAGTGTGTGTGTGTGTGATGTGTGTGTGTGTGTGTGTGTGACTGTGTGTGTGTGTGTGTGTGTGTGTGTGTGTGTGTGTGTGTGTGACTGTGTGTGTGTGTGTGTGACTGTGTGTGTGTGTGTGTGTGTGTGTGACTGTGTGTGTGACTGTGTGTGTGTGACTGTGTGTGTGACTGTGTGTGTGTGACTGTGTGTGTGTGTGTGTGTGTGTGTGTCTGTGTGTGTGTGTGTGACTGTGTGTGACTGTGTGTGTGACTGTGTGTGTGACTGTGTGTGTGTCTGTGTGTGTCTGTGTGTGTGTGTGTGACTGTGTGTGTGTCTGTGTGTGTGTGTGTGTGACTGTGTGTGTGTTACTGTGTATATGTGTGTGTTACAGTGTGTGACTGTGTGTGTGTCTGTCTGTGCGTGACTGTGTGGTTGTGTGTGTGTGTGACTGTGTGTGTGTGTGTGACGTGTGTGTGTGTTACTGTGTATATGTGTGTGTTACAGTGTGTGACTGTGGTGTGTGTGTTACTGTGTATATGTGTGTGTTACAGTGTGTGACTGTGTGTGTGTCTGTCTGTGCGTGACTGTGTGTGTGTTACTGTGTATGTGTGTGTTACTGTGTATATGTGTGACTGTGTGTGTGTTACTGTGTGTGTGTGTGATGTGTGTGTGTTTGTGTGTGTGTGTGATGTGTGTGTGTTTTGGTTGTGTGAGTGTGTGACTGTGTGTGTGTTACTGTGTATATGTGTGTGTTACAGTGTGTGACTGTGTATTAGGGGTGGGCGATATGGGCGAAAAATAATATCTTGTTATTTTTTGGGATTTTGGCGATAACGATAATCAGTCGATATCCTTTAAAATATAATTGGAATTGTCTGAGTTAGGGCTTGTGTCCACCAAACACGTTTATAGCACTGAGAGCTCAAAAACTCATTGTCCGAGCGCCCAGCGGTGTTAGAAGTTGAACAGATTTCAACTTGAAGCGCTCTGAGCGCTGCGCTAAAAAAGTCTTTTCAAAACTAAACCATTTCCATGCCAGAGAGGTAGACCCACGTCTCAGCACTAAATCTGAAGTACCAGTAGCTTCAGGGGCTGGAGGTGTTTGCATTTTCTCTCTACCATCACAACGCGCTGCTAAACTGTTGCAAGGAGGATGCTAGCGGAGGTCAGTGATCACGTCACGTGATCACGTAGGCCCACTAGTCATGTGACTGAATCCTGCCATGCTGTAGAGAGCGCTGCTGCACCGTGTATTAATGGATGGGAGGAGTTTCCGCGTGTGTTTCAATATTTTTGTCGAAGTAATTGAAATACTCGATAATGGAAATTTGCACATCGTCAAAACAACAATGACGATATTATCGCAAACGATATATATCGCCCACCTCTACTGTGTGTGTGTGTGTGTGTGTGTGTGTGTACGGTTTAAGATAAAGTGTAGTTGAATGTACCCCAGTGTTAGTGATGTCACAGTGACGGCTGTCTCTGATTGGTCCACAGACGGTGGGTAAGAGCAGTAAGATGCTGCAGCACATTGACTTCAGGATGAGATGCATCCTGCAGGATGGACGGATCTTCATCGGCACCTTCAAGGCCTTCGACAAACACATGAACCTGATCCTGTGTGACTGCGACGAGTTCAGGAAGATCAAGTAGGTTCACCTGGACTAGAGCCCGACTGATAAAGGATTTTTAAGGCCGATACAAATATTTGGTCATTTAAAAATCCGATATATCGGCCTATATATATATATATATATATATATATTTTTTTTTCCAGAAACGCATAACAACACATAAACAGATTTCCCTAACATTAGTTATTTGTAGTTATTTATGAGTCCTCACTAAAATAATAGGATAATGCAGTTTAAAAATAAACTTGTTTGTTTTTTCTGTCACAACAGAACAGAAGAACTTCAAAATATATTAAACATTATGAACAACCTAAAGTTTCTTAAGGAAAAGAAGTGCAATTTCAACAATATATTTAATTTTGTTTAGTCTAGAAGATCAGTGGATGTAGATCTACAAAGCCACAGAACATTAAGTAACATGTACCTGGAACTGAACAATAATATCAGGGTAACTTTCTCAGTTACAGTTAATAATAATTAAAACAACTTGTCAAGATCTGTACATTTTAAATTTACATTTTCACAGAGCAAAAGTATCTGAAGCAGCATTTTACATGAAGTAGGTTTAATCACTGTTTAGTCTCCTTTTTGACAAAGTCATTTAGACTGAGTGTTCTAAGAGGAAGAGAGCAGCGTAACGTGTGCGTGGTAGAGCGAGAGCAGTGGTGTACAGTGAGTTACAGTTGTTGGTGAATAACGTTTAATAAAGCATTGCGCTATCTTCAATACTTTCTTCTCTGTAATTTTCACACATCCCGCGGGCCTTAATGAACCCTCTGGTGTGACACCTGAGTGAAACCGACAGTCAGTTATATACTGTCTGTAACAGCAGCTAAACTGGACATGGTAGTCATGGATTTTGTCTTGCTTCTGGGTGTTTCGTCCGTTTTTTATTCTTTTTTTAATATTCAATAATCGGCCGTTACAAATACCGATAGTTTGGAAAATGCCAAATATCGTCCGGGCTCTAACCTGGACCCCGGTCCTCGGTCTGGTTCTGCTGAAATAAATAAACTTATGAGCTGACATTTATTGTGAAGAGGTGACAGGAAGTGTTTGTCAGTGAGACTGAACGCCATCAATAATCAATAATGTTTATCGGTGTGAACGGGCTGCTGCTAGCTGACCTTATTGTGTGGCATTCTGGGTAATGTGTTTGTGTCTTTCAGGCCGAAGAACTCGAAGCAGCCTGAGCGAGAGGAGAAGAGGGTTCTGGGTCTGGTTCTGCTGAGGGGGGAGAACCTGGTCTCAATGACGGTGGAGGGCCCGCCCCCTAAAGATGTAAGTGGAACCCAGCAGCCAATAGGAGACTGACCTGTGGCGATAGATTCTGATCAATAATCTATGTTTCAGACGGGTATAGCCCGTGTGCCGCTGGCGGGCGTGGCCGGGGGTCCAGGAGTTGGTCGTGCAGCAGGTCGCGGCGTCCCAGCAGGAGCTCCCATGCCTCAGGCTCCAGCTGGGCTCGCTGGCCCCGTCAGAGGGGTGGGCGGGCCCTCGCAGCAGGTAACTATGGCAACAGCTGTGTGTGTGTGTGTGTGTGTGTGTGTGTGTGTGTTCGCTCTCAGGCGTTAACCACTTCCTGTCTGTCTCCAGGTGATGACTCCGCAGGGCAGAGGAACGGTTGCCGCGGCGGCAGCAGGTGCGAGCATCGCTGGAGCTCCTACACAGTATCCACCTGGACGAGGAGCCCCGCCCCCAATGGGCCGAGGAGCCCCACCTCCAGGTAACAGACGGACAGTTGGTCTCAGAGACAGTCTGTAGTCTCACTCTAATGGAGAAAGAGCTCAGTAAACAGTTTCCTGATGAGTTTCTGGTCTCAGTCTCTAGTTTCAGTCTTCTTCCATACAGCATGATGTTCATTTAGTAACTGATGGTCCCATTTAGAGTAAAACAGACCATAAAGCAGGGTATGCTTTAGGGCGGGGCTACCTTGTGATTGACAGCTCATTCTCAGTGAGTCCGTCCAGCTCAACCAAACTCAGATCAAACTGTCAAACAGTGCTGATCAGATATGGATCCAGATTCTGTTGACTCTTATTGATCCTGTGTGATCAGCCAATGAGAGCAGAGCAACTCGCTGTACGTCACTGACATCACGATAGGGTCACACTGTATTCTGATTATGTCACTGGATACGCCCCCTGCAGGTATGATGGGCCCGCCCCCTGGCATGCGGCCCCCCATGGGTCCTCCAATGGGGATGCCTCCTGGTCGAGGCGCTCCGATGGGCATGCCCCCCCCAGGCATGAGGCCGCCACCCCCCGGGATGAGAGGTAAGCTGTTGCCATGGATACAGTAGAGGAGCCTACCAGATTGCATCATCGTTAATGGCCATAAACTGACCATGTGACCTCTTTGCTCTGCTGTTTTAGGACCGCCCCCTCCCGGGATGAGACCACCCCCCCGACCCTGAAGAAGCTCCGCCCCCTCACTCACTTGTTGTATAGACTTTTTTTTTTAATGTCCTGTTTTGTGTTTTTTAATAAAGTTTCATCAGGATGTTTCATTTCAGCTCAGTGGTCTGTTTCCATGGTAACAAGTTCAATCAGCCAATCAGAGGTCAGATCAACTCTGTAAATATGTATGTATGTATGTGTATGTGTATATATACATACAGATGTTCAGTTATTCCTCTGCCTCCTTTAAAGATAATGGTTCTTGTATTAAGTGTAGTTTATTTACTGCGCTGGAGGCGAGGCTTAGTGAGTTAGAGGAACGGCACCGCACCACAGAGATATCTTTAGCCGCTATAGTTAGCCAGCCCCCGGTAGCCGGTGCGGTCCGACCAAAGGTAGCTTCTGCTAGCCGTCCTCCGGTAGTTCCCGAGCAGCCGGGAAGACAGGGAGGCTGGGTGACTGAGCGAAGGAAGACTAAAACACCGAAGCCCACAGTTCACCACCAACCCATTCATGTTTCTAATACATTTTCCCCACTCAGCGATACACCCGCTGAGGAACCAACTCTGGTTATTGGCAGCTCCATAGTCAGAAACGTGAAGTTAGCGAAGCCAGCGGCCATAGTTAAATGCATCCCTGGGGCCAGAGCGGGCGACATTGAATCAAATTTAAAACTGCTGGCTAAAGATAATCGTAAATACAGTAAGATTGTTATCCACGTCGGCGGTAACGACACCCGTTTACGCCAATCGGAGGTCACTAAGATTAATGTGGAGTCGGTGTGTAACTATGCTAAGACAATGTCGGACTCCGTAGTTTTCTCTGGACCCCTCCCCAATGTGACCAGTGATGACATGTATAGCCGCATGTCGTCATTCCACCGCTGGCTGTCGAGGTGGTGTCCAGCAAACGATGTGGGCTTCATTGATAACTGGAAGCCTTTTTGGGGAAAACCTGGTCTGATTAGGAGAGACGGCATCCATCCCACTTTGGATGGAGCGGCTCTCTTATCTAGAAATATGGCAAAGTTTATCTCTAAAACCTGACAGTCCAGAGTTAGGACCAGGAAGCAGAGCTGCTGTCTTACACACTTCTCTGCGCTTTCTTTAGAACAGTCACCCACCCAAAACCCCATAGAGACTGTGTCTGTCCCCCGACCACCTAAATTATTTAAAGAAATAAAAACAAGAGGAGTTCAACATAAAAATCTAATAAAAATTAAAACCAACTCCTCAGTAGCACAAAATAAGAGAATGAAATGTGGGCTGTTAAATATCAGGTCTCTGTCCTCTAAAGCTGTTCTAGTGAATGAATTAATATCAGATTATGATATTGATTTACTTTGTCTTACTGAGACCTGGTTGTCCCACGAGGAGTATGTTAGCCTAAATGAATCCACCCCCCAGTCATATTAATACTCACATTCCTCGAGGCACTGGCCGAGGAGGTCGAGTAGCAGCCATATATGATTCGAGCATTTTAATGGACCCTAAACCTAAACTAAATTATAATTCATTTGAAAGCCTTGTTCTTAGTCTTTCTCACCCAAACTGGAAAACACTGCAGCCAGTTCTATTTGTTATAGTGTACCGCGCTCCTGGACCGTACTCTGATTTTATATCTGAATTCTCAGAGTTTCTATCAAGTTTAGTCCTTAAATCAGATAAAGTAATTATTGTAGGTGATTTTAATATTCATGTGGATGTTGACAATGACAGCCTTAGTAACGCATTTATATCATTAATAGACTCAATTGGCTTCTGTCAGAGTGTAAATAAACCAACTCATTGTTTTAATCACACTCTTGACCTTGTTTTATCATATGGCATTGATATTGAACATTTAATAGTCTTCCCACATAATCCTTTCCTATCTGACCATTATTTAATAACTTTTGAATTCATAGTATTAGATTATAAGCCATTAGGCAAAACTTCCTACAGCAGATGTCTATCTGACAGTGCTGTAGCTAAATTTAAGGAGGAGATTCCTTCAGTGTTTAATTCAATGCCATGTCTGAATTTAACAGAGTCCTATAACGACTTTAGTCCCTCTGAAATTGATAATCTTGTTGATAGTGCTACAGGCTCACTACGATCAACATTAGACTCTATCGCTCCTATAAAAAGGAAATTATTAAAACATAGGAGACTAGCACCTTGGTATAACCACCAAACCCGCCAGTTAAAGCAAATAGCTAGGAAATCTGAAAGGAAATGGCGCTCTTCCAAATTATCAGAATATCGCTCAATTTGGCAAGATAATCTTAAAACCTATAGAAAGGCCCTCCGTAATGCCAGAGGAGCCTATTACTCAGCACTGATAGAAGAAAATAAGAATAACCCTAGGTTCCTCTTCAGCACTGTAGCCAGGCTGACAGAGAGTCACAGCTCTATTGAGCCACATATCCCCATAAACTTAAGTAGCAACGACTTCATGAGCTTCTTCTATAATAAAATTATTACTATTAGAGAAAAAATTAATCACCAACTGCCATCAACAGTTATCAGTGGCTCTCCAAGTTCAGGGACTTCTGTCAATGTAAATTTAGATATATATTTAGACTGTTTTTCTGCTATCGATCTTCATCAGTTAACTTCAATCATTTCTTCATCAAAGCCATCAACCTGTCTATTAGACCCGATCCCAACTAGGCTGCTTGAAGAAGTTGTTCCCTTAATTGGCACTTCTTTACTGGATATGATTAATCTTTCTTTATTATCAGGATATGTACCACAGTCCTTTAAAGTAGCTGTAATTAAACCCCTTCTTAAAAAGTCCACTCTTGACCCAGGGGTTTTAGCCAACTATAGACCGATTTCTAACCTCCCCTTCCTCTCTAAGATTCTGGAGAAAGTAGTCGCCAAAGAGTTGTGTGACTTTCTACATAACAATAGTTTATTTGAGGATTTTCAGTCAGGATTTAGAGTTCATCATAGCACAGAGACAGCTCTGGTTAAAGTTAATAATGACCTTCTGATTGCTTCTGACAATGGACTTGTCTCTGTACTTGTATTATTAGATCTTAGTGCTGCATTTGACACCATTGACCATAATATTCTTTTACAGAGACTTGAGCATCAAATTGGCATTAAAGGAACCGCACTAAGCTGGTTTAAGTCATATTTATCAGATAGCTCGCAGTTTGTACATGTTAATGAATCTTCAGTAAATACTACAGTTAGTCATGGAGTTCCACAAGGTTCTGTACTTGGACCAATACTATTTACTTTATATATGCTCCCTTTAGGCAACATTATTAGGAATCACTCCATTAACTTTCACTGTTATGCAGATGATACGCAGTTATATCTATCAATCAAACCCAATGAAATTAATCAATTATCTAAATTACAAACATGTCTTAAGGACATAAAATCCTGGATGACCTGCAATTTTCTTATGTTAAACTCAGAAAAAAACGAAATTCTTGTTCTTGGCCCCAAAAACCTTAGAGACTCACTGTCTAAAGATATAGTTACTCTAGATGGCATTAACTTGGCCTCTAGCACCACTGTCAGGAATCTTGGAGTTATCTTTGATCAGGATTTGTCTTTTAACTCCCACATAAAGCAGACCTCTAGGACTGCCCTCTTTCATTTACGTAATATTAGAAAAATTAGACACATCCTATCACAGACAGATGCAGAAAAACTAATCCATGCATTTGTTACTTCTAGGCTGGATTACTGCAACTCTTTATTATCAGGTTGCCCCAATAAGTCCATTAAAACGCTCCAATTAATTCAGAACGCTGCAGCACGAGTACTGACAGGAACTAGAAAAAGAGATCACATCTCTCCTGTACTAGCTACTCTGCATTGGCTCCCTATAAAATGTAGAATAGAATTTAAAATCCTCCTCCTCACCTATAAAGCTCTTCATGGTCAGGCCCCTTCATATCTTAAAGAGCTCATAGTACCCTATTACCCCACTAGAACACTACGTTCTCTGAATGCTGGGCTACTTGTGGTTCCTATAGTCTCTAAAAGTAGAACAGGAGCCAGAACCTTCAGTTACCAAGCTCCTCTCCTGTGGAACCAGCTTCCAGTTGTGGTTCGGGAGGCAGACACCCTCACCACATTCAAGAGTAGGCTTAAGACATTCCTCTTTGATAAAGCTTATAGTTAGGGCTGGATCAGGTGAGTCCTGAACCATCCCTTAGTTATGCTGCTATAGGCCTAGACTATCGGGGGATTCCCCATGGTGCACTGAGCTCCTCCCTTCCTCTCTCTTTCTGCACTCATTCATGTCCCTTTAATGCATGTTACTAACTCCACTTCTTCCCCGGAGTTCTTGTGCTTTCTCGTCTCGCAGGTTCTCATGGATCCTGGTGGAGCCTCCTGCCATGGTCCTGCTTGATTGCCATTGCCAATACTGTTGTTGCTGTGCACCTGTCTGTCTGTCTGTCTCTCTGTCTGTCTCTCTGCCTCTCTCTCTTTCTCTCTCTCTCTCTCTCTCTCTCTCTCTCACCCCAACTGGTCGAGACAGACGACCACCCACCTAGAGCCGGAGGATCTGTCCTAGGTTTCTGCCTTTTAACAGGCAGTGTTTCCTTGCCCTTGTCGCCAAGGTCTTGCTCATGGTGGTACTGTTGGGTCTCTGTAATTAATGTTAAAGAGTTCGGTCTAGACCTGCTCTATTTGAAAAGTGTTCTGAGATAACTTCTGTTATGAATTGGCGCTATACAAATAAAATTGAATTGAATTGAATTGAATTGAATATATATGGGTGTATATACGTATATATGTATATATGTGTGTGTATATACATATATGTATATATATATGTGTGTGTGTGTGTATATATGTATGAATATGATAAAGTTTATTGATCTGAACAAGCTCTAAAAACTAAACTCTCTATATAAACTATAGAAATAGTGGGTGGGTGGTTGGTTGGTTGGTTGGTTGGTTGGTTGTGGACTTCAGGAAGAACCCAGCCCCCCCCGCCCCCATCATCCTGTGGGACTCCCCAGTGGACTCTGTGGAGTCCTTCCGCTTCCTGGGTACCATCATCACCCAGGACCTCACCAAGAAAGCTCAGCAGAGGATGTACTTCCTGCCAAAGACGATGATGGTACACTTCTACACCGCCATCGAGTCCATCCTCACCTCTTCTATCACCCTGCCTGCCAAGGATGAGCACGTTACTAATACTGAGGCTCAGGAAGCACCCAGTGCATGCTGGGAGGATTCAATTCAATTTTATTTGTATAGCACCAATTCATAGCAGAAGTTATCTCAGGACACTTTTCAAATAGAGCAGGTCTAGACTGAACTCTTTATAACATTAATTACAGAGACCCAACAGTACCACCATGAGCAAGACCTTGGAGACAAGGGCAAGGAAACACTCTTTTTTTTATTTTTTTTTAACCTAGGACAGATCCTGACTCTGGGACAGAGACACAGAATGAGCAGTGACTATAGTAATATCAGTGATATTAACAATGGGAGTTAAGTAGGACCATGGTAGGATTCCCGACAATGTCAAAATCAAATGTTAAAGGATCAATAATCAGCCGATCGATGGTTCTCTGGATCAGAACCGCACAGAGACAAATCTTTACAGTCAATAACACCAGCACTCATTCAGTAAGAGAACTTATAGTGAGGCTTTTATTTTGAAAAACTTTATTAAACATTGTTCACAAACACTTTATTACAACACATTATTATTATTATTATTATTATTATTATTATTAATAAATAAAGGTGACATAAAATGAAAGCTACTTTAATTAGTTAAGTTTTAAAGTTAATTCTAAACGCTTATAAATCTAAAATAAAAACATAATTTCACAAATTCAGCATCTGTTATTAATATTTAATTAGCTTAAGTCCAAAATAAAGATTCCTTCTATAAAGTTACCTGTTCACATCAATCAATAATCAATAATAGATTAAGTCAGAGAAGAAACTACAGGAAGTCTGTGTGTGTGTTGCGGGGGGTGTCATGTGACTGCCCGTTATCATGTGACCAGCTGATTCTTTATTGCCGCCAGCTGCAGTCGCACAGTTCACCTGCGGATCCAGAACCAGGTGGAACCGGGTAGAACCGGGTGGAACCGGGTGAGACAGGAACAGACGGACCGACGAGGTGAGTTAGTTTCCGCTCCGAACTCCGTTTTAAGGATGTCTCTGATGTTGTTTGTGTGTGATAGCAGTTAGCCTGAGCTAACCTGTTTCCGGGTTATAAAGTGGAGAACAGACGTTCTTGCCTCGAACCTTGTTTCATTCAGAAAACGAGCATTTAATCATTTATATTGACACAGAGTGAAAACGGTTCATTAGTTCACATCATGGGAAACAAATTCCGAGCTGGAAAGTTTCTCTTATTAATTCGGCTCACAGAAAATATTCCACTAACATTACTTCCTTCTGAAATCATGTGTTTTACACCTCTTCTGCTCGCTATTCAGCTACATATAGAAAGTATATTATAGCAATTATATAAAGTAAATAAATTATATAAATTATATGAAGTGTATATAAATTATATAAATTATATGAAGTGTATATAAATTATATAAATTATATGAAGTGTATATAAATTATATGAAGTGTATATAAATTATATGAAGTGTATATAAACTATATAAATTATATGAAGTGTATATAAACTATATAAATTATATGAAGTATAGAAAGTGCTCCCGTCTGCCCAACTGAACTTTAAAGGTTGAACTATTCTTAGGTTGCTGGGTGAAAACGATCCCTTAGTGAATCCAGACTGAGTCATATGATCATAAATAGGGTTGGAAATCACAGAAAATCACTTCCTTAAAATATGTCACATTCCAGGCCTGGTTCCCCTAATCCTTAGCGCCCCCTGCTGTGTGTTTGTAGTACTTTAAGGAAACAAAGAGTTCCTGTTTGGTCCAGATGGATGGACCCCCTGCAATGAAGACCATATAATGTCCATTCCTGTGAAAAAAAGTCAAATACTTGGGTTTAAATATAATCAAAGATAACAAATTAAGGGAAAGTAATAATTTTCATGAAAAACTAGAGATTATGAAGAAAACTCCTCTTCTTTTGGAAGAAACATACTGTCCAAAGCCTGCCAGTCTTTATTTGTTGCTCCTCAAAACATTAAGAAAGCCAACTCAAATATACATAATTTTATATAATAATAATAATAATAATAATAATAATAATAATACATTTTATTTGTAAAGCACTTTTCATAAAAGAATCTCAAAGTGCTACAGAAACCAAGAAACACAATAACAAAAAAACACTAAGGGCAATAACACATTAAAATCAGCAACCAATAATAATACAAGTGATAAAATACATTAAGAAAAAACAAACAAAAAAATGGTTAGGGTTAACCATGGCTTTTGCTCTGAGATGCAACTGAGAAAATGTCAGGAAAGTCCTACTGAACTTTATTTGGGATTAATCAGTCATTTTAAATGATAGCAGGTGTGTACTGACTACTATTTTTAACATGAGTTTGAATGTGATTGGTCAATTCTGAACACAGCCACATCCCCAGTTATAAGAGGGTGTGCACACTTATGCAACCAGGTTATTGTAAGTTTTTTTTATTTTTTATTTTTCCCCCTAAAAGATTTCCATTTGTTTTTCAATTGAATTGTTCACATTATAGGTCACATTAAAGGTGGAAAAAGTTTGGTTTTGTCTCATTTTTTTAAATCACAAAAATCTGGCATTTTAACAGGGGTGTGTAGACTTTTTATATCCACTGTAAGTAAGGGAGGATTGAATACATTAGACTCTGAATCAATGATAGGAATGTTCAGAATAAATTGGATAAAAGCCTTTCTGTCACAAACTGAATCAATATGGTTTCATATCCCCAAAAATATATTTTAAAAAGTGGGAGGTTTGGATTTTTTGTTAAAATGTGATTATGAAATTACAAAATTGCCTGTAAAACTATCTGAATTTCATAAGCAAGTATTACACTACTGGAAAATGTTATTTACACATAATTTTATCCCGCATGGCTCCACCTTATGGAATAACAGAACAATCACAATAAATAGAAAAACTCTATTTACACAAACTTGGTATGACAAGAAAATAATATTTGTAGCTGACCTGATGGATAATCAAGGGTCACAGAAGTGCCACCAAAGACCATGACTTCTGTCTTTTCTTCATTAATATTCAGAAAATTTAAAGACATCCAAGCTTTAAGGTTGTGTAAACACTTTAGCAGTGGGTCAACAGAGTAGGAATCAGACTTTTTGAGGGGGACATAGATCTGGCTGTCATCCGCATAGCAGTGAAAAGAAATGCCATGTTTCCTGAGAATGGAACCAAGTGGGAGTAGATGGAGAGAAAATAAAAGAGGGCCAAGCACAGAGCCCTGTGGGACCCCACATGAGAGAGGAGCAGTGGAGGACACAGAGTCACCAAGGCTGACACAGAAAGTTCGATCAGCCAAGTATGACCTGAACCACTCCAGTGCTATGCCCCTGATGCCCACCCACTGCTTCAAATGTGAGATCATCATGATCCAGTGTGTCAAATGCAGCAGTCAAATCTAAAAGCACAAGGATAACACAGTCACCAGAGTGAGTAGCTAAAAAGATGTCATTAAAAACTCTTAAAAGAGCTGATTCTGTGCTGTGCAGGGTTTTAAAATGGGATTGGAAAACCTCTAGAATATTATGTTCTTCCAGAAAGGCCATTAATTGACTGTGCACAATCTTCTCCAGGATTTTTGAAAGGAAAGGCAGTTTGGAGATAGGCCTGAAATTAGCAAGAACTGCAGGATCTAGAGCAGATCTTTTAATCAGAGGTTGTACTACTGCATGGTAAAAATTTTCAGGGACCACACCTGAGGACAGACTGCTATTTATGACTGCAATAACAGATGGTCCTACAGTGGGGAAAACCTCCTTAAATAGTCGAGGAGGGACAGCATCATTTGGAGAACCTGAGGGCTTCAAATGACCAACAACCTCCTGTAAAAAGGAAAAAGTCACAGGCTCAAAATGGTCAAAAACAGCAGAGCAGGGGACAGAGATTGAGGGGTCATAACACTTGCGCTCAGCTCTGCGGCACTCATGTCTGACAGCATGAGTCCTGTCATTTAGCCAGGGCTCAGATTTAGTTTTAGGCTGCCTGGATTTTAATGGAGCCAAAGTGTCAAACAGTTTGGCAGGTGGAGTGAGACCATGAGCTAAGCTCCTCTGTACTGCATACAGACTCAGGAAAGATGGAGTAAAAAGTATAGCTATAAAATATAATGTGTTGTCCACCAAACTGCATTTAAAAAATCTCACAATTAAACATTTATTTTCTTACTGAAAGTTGTTGTTGTTATTATTATTATTATTATTATTACTATTATTACTATTATTATTATTATTGAAACAAGTGCTGAGTGGTACTCCGTCTAAAATAATCAAATAATAAAAAAAAATCTTCCTCACAGGTTAGTTAATGATGTTACTGAGTCAATGTGAGCAGATTGTGTCTGTAGATTGAAGAGAATCAGAGTCTCACTGATGGTGGAAATAAAGGTTTTACTTCCTTAAAACAGCCGTTTTTTGAATGGAGTTTTGTGTGACAGTGTGGAGCAGAGGGGATTTGAACCTTAATAATTCCCATAAACTGAGCTGACCTACCTTCTAATAATGAACCTTGGAAACAGCAGAAAGTAACAGGAAGTGGAGATAAACCCTCCTGTTTTCTTCTTCTGTGGTCTCGTAGTAAAAGGTAGATTAATGAACACAAACATTAGTTTACAGTAACGTCACATTGGTCACAAACAGTTAATAAGGTATCTGTATCTGTGAGGACACTGATCAATAACTACTTATGTGTTTTATTTTACAACCACAAGAGCATTGTTTGACTGCTTGGAGGATTTATGATCCTAACAGATAAAATCAATGCAGTATTCTTATTGTATGAATTTACACTTATCGCCAGTCAAATTAGACTTTCAAAGAGTGGGTGGGGCTTGACACAGGGCAAGTAGTCTGCCCTACTAGTGCTCAGATGTGCAGCTCTCATCTACACAGGTGGCGGTGTTGATGTTACTTCCTGTTGTGTTTCAGATGCAGGTGGCGGTGTTGTGTTACTTACTTTTGTCTCTGCTGGGAGGCGATGCGGCTCCAGCGGCAGACGAAGTCACTTACCTCCCCGGTCTGCAGAAACAGCCAAGTTTCAGACATTACTCTGGATACCTGAATGTGGCCGACGGAAAACACCTGCACTACTGGTCAGTACCCGAGACGGAGACCGAGACGCTGCAGAGGCCGAGGCGCTGTTTGGTTTATACGCTGACTTTCAGTTGTTTCTCCTGCTCGTTATCTTCTGTGTGCACCTCCTGGTCTACACTGTTCATGTGACCATATGAGTCTCTCCAGAGACCGACTCATATCTTTGGGGTTGTGGATAACGAGCAGAGAGCACACAGAGGAAAGAGCGTCACACTCATAGCACCTTTTTATTTAATTAAGTCACACAGGGTGACCCTACCCTGCCCTACCTGTAGTACAGAGCCATAACAAACTCAGGTGAGTTACCTTCCTAACACTTCCTAACAAAGATAAATCATTTGTCACCTGATTTATTTTACCTGAGCATCAGTCATCACCTGCATATACCCGAGTACACATTCACCTGATGTGTTGGCAATACAACACGTGTACATCCACCTGATCCTCAGTGCACCTGAGCGTTGGCCCTGCTAGAGTACAACTGTGTGTTGACGCGTCCACTTGAGCTCACCTGAGTTTTGGCAGTAACATCCACCTGGGCGCGTTTCTGTTTCAGGTTTGTGGAGTCCCAGCAGAACCCGGCCTCTGACCCGGTGGTGCTGTGGTTGAACGGCGGTCCTGGCTGCAGCTCTCTGGACGGACTGCTGACTGAACACGGACCCTTCCTGGTGAGTAACCTCCACTGACTCCTCCCACCTGCATCAGTGTAATGTCACAGCGACACTTGTTGACCTCTGATTTCAGATCCAGGATGACGGAGTGACGCTGCAGTATAACCCATACTCGTGGAACAAGGTCAGTTAATCCATCACCTGCACGCCTTCCAGTTACTTAGGTGGTTTGGTCACATGTTCAGTGTATTTGTATTTCCTGAAAGCTGATTGGTTCACTGTTTCCAAGTAGATTGCCAACGTGTTGTACCTGGAGTCTCCAGTAGGAGTCGGCTTCTCGTACTCTGACGATCAGAAATACGGCACGAACGACACAGAGGTCAGTGACATGGCTGGAACTCTAATTGGCTCACAGGCGTTCAGATGTTAACGTGTTTCTCCTCAGGTGTCGATGAACAACTACCTGGCTCTGAAGGACTTCTTCCGTCTGTTTCCAGAGTTCAACAAGAACGAACTCTTTCTGACCGGAGAGAGCTATGGAGGAATCTACATTCCGACACTTGCCGAAAGGGTTATGGAGGACGCCAGCCTCAACCTGCAGGTACTGCGGTGTTTTGGGGTACTGTGTCAGACGACTGTTGAATTAAATTTTATTTGTATAGGGCCAATTCATAACAGAAGTTATCTCAGGACACTTTTCAAATAAAGCAGGTCTAGACCGAACTCTTTGTTAGCTTGTGCAATGCTAACAACCTGACTGACCTGTCTCACTGTGGGTAGGGCGTTGCCGTGGGTAACGGGATGTCGAGTTATGAGCTGAACGATAACTCTCTGGTGTACTTTGCGTACTACCACGGCCTGCTGGGAAGTCGCCTGTGGAGCGACCTACAGACATTCTGCTGCAGTGGCGGGAAGTGCAACTTTTACGACAACCAGGACCAGAACTGCTCGGCTACGGTAAGTCTGTACCGGTCCCAACTGGTCTTTTATGTTCAGCTAGTCTGAACCAGGTCTTTCAGGTGTTTGTGTTTCCTTTGCAGCTGGGCCAGGTTCAGGACATTGTCTACAGTTCAGGACTGAACATGTACAACCTGTACGCACCCTGTCCAGGTGGAGTCCGCCAAAGGCTCAGGTAAGGTGTGACCACAGGTGTGTTCAGTCTGTAGCTCACCTGTGGCAGGTGTGGTATGGCCTTAAATTGATTTCCTGTTCTTGATTATCAGTATTGAACAAGGTGAGCTGGTGATCAGAGATCTGGGGAACTCGTTCATCAACAATCAGTGGACTCAGCTCTGGAACCAGGTGTGTATGACGTCATCTTACAGGTAAAGCTAACTCACCTGATGCACTGTTAGAAACCAGGTTCTCCTCTGACTGTGTGAACAGAAGGTACGAGGTCTGGCGTCCCTCCACCTGTCTGTCCGTCTGGACCCCCCCTGCACTAACTCCACCCCCTCTTCCCTCTACCTGAACAACCCGTACGTCCGAGCTGCCCTGCACATCAGCCCCAAGGCCCTGGACTGGGTCATCTGCAGGTAATACACCTTAACACTTCACACCTGCTAAACTAAACACCTGTCTCATTACACACCTGTATAAAACCCTCTGACCTCCGGTTTGTATTGCAGCGCTGAGGTCAATCTGAAATACGGTCGACTCTACATGGACGTCAGGAAACAGTACCTGAAGCTGCTCTCTGCTCTGGTCAGTGTACATGGCTGTTAGTTCTCACCAGACTTGATTCACAGTTTTAACATTTTTGACTACGTTCCCTCACTGAACAATGTCTGACCGCTGATTGGCTGATCTGTTCAAGTGGGTGTGGCTTGATGGTTATCCAGGTGTGTGGGGCGTGTCCTTATTGAAAGTATTCTTTCTGCAGAAGTACCGGGTCCTGGTGTATAACGGGGATGTGGACATGGCCTGTAACTTCATGGGGGACGAGTGGTTCGTTGAGTCTCTGAACCAGCAGGTAACTTCATATCCAACTTAAGTGTGACGTCAGGCAGTCTCAGGTGTATTAACCGGGTGTGTCTGTCAGGTGGAAGTTCAGAGGCGTCCGTGGCTCTACGATGATGAAGACGGTCGGCAGGTTGGCGGCTTCGTAAAAGAGTTCGACAACATTGCCTTCCTTACTGTCAAGGTAAACTCCTTCATCAGCTGACCTCCAGTGACCCTGTGATGTCGTCAGGGGTCAAGGCTCTGCTGGTGCTTACCTGTATTAACAGTTTGTATTGATCAGGTTTTTGACCTTTGACTCTGTCCTCCTGTAGGGTTCTGGTCACATGGTTCCATCAGACAAACCAATTGCTGCCTTCGCCATGTTCACCAGATTCATCAAGAGGCAACCCTACTGACCTCTGACCCTACTGCCCACTGACTCTACGGACCTCCATTTGTCCACCTTTACCTCTGACCTCTGACCTCCAACCACTGACCATCTGTCCCTCTGATCTTTTTGAGTCTATTTTTTTTTCTCTTCCTAATCAGCCAATCAGCGATTGCCCGGCAACCAGATTATTGTTGTAGGAAATGTACCCTAATCACATCGCACATCCTGGTCACAGTGGCAACGTGTGGTTGCCATGGAAACGAGTACTGCCATTAATCTTTGTTTTTGAATGTGAAACTTGTTTTTGTTGATTGGAACCAGAATATAAAGTTTGATCTTTAAGCAGACTCCTGTTGTTCTTTCAACTCTGATTAATCGCTGCAGCTTTCTATAATTTGGGCCCTAACCCTTCACAGAACTCTTCCTCTCTTCTGCCGTCTGTCTCTCCGTCTGTCTCTCTGTCTGTCTCTCTGTGTCTCACTCTGTCTGTCTGTCTCTCTCTCTCTGTCTCACTCTGTCTGTCTGTCTCTGTCTCTCTCTGTGCCCACTCTCTGTCTCTGTCTCTCTCTGTGCCCACTTTCTGCCTCTCTCTCTCTCTGTGCCCACTCAATTCAATTCAAATAGATTTATTGGCATGACGTAACACTGTACATATTGCCAAAGCAAGCGTTTGGAATTAAAAATAATAACAATAAAGGAAAACAATATTTACAATAAATGAATTATAATCTATACTGTTGGTAATACTGTAACTATGATTGACTCAACCACAATCACAGTCACAATCAATCAATCTCAGTCAATAAGTAATTAATTACAATGAATGAATCAATCAGTTTGTGTTAACTAAAAATGTCATTAAAACAGTAGTAAAGTAACTACAGTTAAAACAAGTAGTCTGTTGTCAATATAACAGTAATAACAAATTATTAAATAAAATATATATAATATTAAAATATATTAAAATTAAAATATAATAGAAACTGTAAACGTGTGTGTGTGTGTGTGTGTGTGTGTGTGTGTGTGCGTGTGTGTGTGTGTTTTAATTTAGGACATTTTATTGTGATCAGGTAATTTGCCAGTGTGAATTCTCTTTTTAGGGTCAGATAACATTGTAATTTACTTTGTGTTTTGGTCGTTTCTTTCCAGTATTCAATATATTTTTCTTTTTGCTTGTTGATAATTTGGTTTGGTCTGATTGAGTTGGTGTTGCTGTCCTGAGGCTGTTGGGGACATGTTACTGCAGAGAGCCTCAGGACCAGCTGGCTGAGGGGACTCTTCTCTGGTTTCAGCTCCTGGTATGTTAGGGCTTTGTGATGGTATGTCTGGGGGTCAACTGATTTAAGTGATTGTAAATTTTATTGATCTTTTCTGTATTTTTAGTAGGAGGGGGTATTGGCCGAGTTCTGCTCTGCACAGATTATTTGGTGTTTTTCTCTGCACCTGCAGGATGCTCTTACAGAACTCGGTGTGGAAAGATTATATGATTGTTTCGTCCCATATGTCAAATTCATTATTTAGTTTTGGTCCCCAAATTTCTCTGCCATATAGAATTATTGGTTCTAGTACAAATTGGAAAATTTTAAGCCAGATTTCGATTGGAATATAGATTTTAATGTTTGTCTTTATTGCATAGAAAGCTCTCCTTGCTTTGTCCTTCAGTTTGTTTGTTTCCAATCTTTACGGCACATTCACTTTTTGTATACATGTTCTTAATCAGATCATATGTTTTTCCTCCAATGCCACTTTCAAGTAGCCTATAGAAAAGGCCTTTGTGCCAGATGGAATCAAAGGCTTTTTTGTAGTCTACGAAACATGCATATACCTTTCTTTTCTTAATTTTTAATTCTAAATATATGGTCCGTTGTGCTGCAATTTGGCAAGAAGCCAATTTGGCATTTATGCAGAATATTGTGGTCATCAAGAAAGTTGACTTTTGTCATTTATTATATTATATTGTATATATATATATATATAATATTTATATTATTATTAATGATGTTGCAGAATATTTTTCCCAGGTTACTGGAGACACTTATTCCTCTGTAGTTATTTGGATCATATTTATTTCCGGATTTATGAATTGGGGTTGTTAAACCTTTGTTCCAGATGTCTGGAAAAGCTCCAGTTGAGAGAATAGTATTGAATAGTTTTAGTATAGCCAATCTGATTTTATGGTCTGAGTATTTGATCATTTCGTTGAGGATTCCATCAATACCACAAGCCTTTTTTCCTTTCAGGGACTGGATGACTTCTGTTAATTCTTGTTCTGTTACTGGGTAATCTAGAGGGTTTGGGTTATTTTTTATCACTGCCTCCAGAGTTTTCCATTTTGCGAATATCTTGTACTGATCATCATTTTTTGTAATATTACTGTATAATTAAATAATAAAGTGATTAATCCAAGTATTTCCATCTTGGATCTCCAATTCATCCTGCTGGGTTTTGTTTAGGTTGTTCCATTTCTCCCAGAACTGGTTGGATTCGAGGGGTTCCTCAATTTCACAGAGCTGGTTCTTGCTGTGTTTTTCTTTCCTTGTTTTTAGGGTGTACTTGTATTGTTTCAGAGTGGCCTCATATTGACAGCGTATGTTGTGGTTATCTGGGTCTCTATGCTTTTCATTTGATAATTTCCTTAAAGTTTTCCTTAGGTTTTTGCATTCAGTGTCAAACCATTTGTTATTGTTCATTTGTTGAGATTTTGGTTTGGAGGCTTTCAAATTAGACAATAGAGCCAAATGATGAAAAATTTAATTGATTTTGTCCACAGCAGAATTTACACCAGAATTATTATGGGAAAATGTTTCAGTTAGAAATAAATTAGTTAAAGGGGAACTTGGCAACTCTAGCCATTTCTTTGCTGGTTTTCACTTTTGTCGTTGCATGTTTTCTCAACGAGCTCCCCCTACAGCTCTGGGACGTATATTTCAAAACACTGTTGTAAAAAAACTCACTCGCGGCACCCTCCTCCCCCTATCTACCGCTGCTGATGTGCATTTGTTGCTGGGCAACTTTTTCGTGTGTGGGGCGTGTGCATTTATGTGGAATTGCCGTAAAGCAGTTCGTGTTTCTCGCTCGTTCTCGCTTCTCAAAGTCACCATTTTCACTGGAACATACCATTTAACCATCCAAATGATTTCTAAACAGGTTTATTAAGTTGAAATAGTTGCCAAGTTCCCCTTTAAATCATCTATATTTTGACTTTCCAGTGCCTTTTGGTACGCCCCCATGCTGTCAGGGGTCCATCTGTATGAGTATGTGCTGTTAAACAGTTCACAGGCACTAGGGGCTCCAGAGTTAGACTGGGCCCTTTTCAGATAGATTGTGATTTTGCTGTGGTCTGAGAGGGGTGTGAGGGGGCTGACTGTGAAAGCTCTGAGAGACATTGGATCTAGATCTTTAATGAAATAATCTACCGTACTACTATCAAGAGCTGAGCTGTAAGTGTAGCGACCCAGAGAGTCCCCTCGTAGCCTGCCGTTGACTATGTACAGACCCAGAGTACGGTAGAGCTGTAAAAGCTGCATACCGCTTGTATTAGTAAGCTTGTCAAAGCTCTTTCTAGTAGGACATTCAGGGAGGGGGAAGCAGGTGCTTCCAGGTAAGTGTTTGTCTCCCTGGGTGTTCATAGTGTCAGCTCTTTCCCCTGTTCGAGCGTTCAAGTCCCCACAGAGTAATACATTTCCCATGGTTTTATAATGGTTAATTTCCTCCTCAAGAATAGAGTAAATATCTGGGTTGTAGTAGGGGGATTCTGATGGAGGTATATAGATGGCACACATGTAGACATGTTGCTCAGCACAAATAATCTTTTTGTTAATTTTCAACCATATATAAGATTCTTCTTTTTTAATAACTGTGATGGACTGGCTCAGTTCTGATTTACACCATATAATCATGCCTCCTGAATCTCTGCCTTGGGTTATTGTGGGATGTTTTGTTGATGGTATAATAATCTCAGTGTAGCCGTGAGGACGACCAGTGGAAACATCTTCTCTGCACCATGGCTCCTGTAAAACTATGATGTCAGAATCTTTTAACTTTCTATTAAAATCTGAATTTCTGCTCTTTAAACCAAAAGCTGATGATCTCAGACCTTGAATGTTCCAACATGTTATTGTAAACGATTTCATCTCTAAGTGTGATCCGTTCAAAAATTAGACAAACACCTTAAAAGAAAAATAATAATAATAAACTAGATATTAAAAAATAATAATGGTAATAAATTAAAAGTGTAAAAAGACGAAAAGAGTGAGTGACATTTTAGAATGTATCGTGTGAAATACTGTTAAGAATTGTCCTTATGTTACTATTCATTTAAAATGATATACAAAATGTTAAACTATTAATTATTGTGTGTCTCTGCTCTTCCATCATGTAGCTACATGAGGCGAGAGCAGAGCAGGTTTAGCACCACTCTGTGTCACTCTGTCTGTCTGTCTCTCTCTCTCTCTCTGTCTCACTCTCTGTCTCTCTCTCTCTCTCTCTCTCTCTCTCTCTCTCTGTCTGTCTCTCTGTCTGTCTGTCTGTCTGTCTGTCTGTCTGTCTCTCTCTCTCTCTCTCTCTCTCTCTCTCTCTGTCTGTCTCTCTGTCTGTCTGTCTGTCTGTCTGTCTCTCTCTCTGTCTGTATTGACTGTAAACTGTCACTCATTACCTCAGCATACAGACTGAGCCTGGCAGCTACAGCTGAGGGAGAAAAGTGTGTTAGAAGTTTCCCAGCCCACCCTGAAGGCAGCAGCAGGTGTATTCAAGTTCAGAGTTTTGACTTTCAGAGTGACCTGACTGTTTGCACTGTTTGTGTCTGTGTTAGCATGTTAGCTCTGTGTGATAGCAGCTGCTAGCTCACCTGTTTGTATCAGAGCGGACTCACCTGCACAGGTATGACCCCTCACTTCATTCTGTGACATTAAATTATTTAAGACATTAACTGTCACTGTGGTTGGTGGACTGGGTTTACTGGTTTTCTGAGTGGACTGGGTTTACTGGTTTTTGAGTGGACTGGGTTTAATGGTTTTCTGAGTGGACTGGGTGTACTGGTGGCTGAGCGGACTGGGTTAACTGGTGGCTGAGCAGACTGGGTTTACTGGTGGCTGAGTGATCTGGGTTTAATGGTGGCTGAGTGAATTGGGTTTAATGGTGGCTGAGTGATCTGGATTTAATGGTGGCTGAGAGGACTGGGTTTAATGGTGGCTGAGCAGACTGGATTTACTGGTGGCTGAGTGATCTGGATTTAATGGTGGCTGAGAGGACTGGGTTTAATGGTTTTTGAGTGGACTGGGTTTAATGGCGGCTGAGCGGACTGGGTTTACTGGTGGCTGAGTGGATGTATATTGGAGTGGTTTTGGGGCTTTTTGATGATGCTGAATCCATTTCTGAAATGGTCAGAATTCTAAATGGCCAATTTAAACCGCAACTGGACATATTTGATCTCCTGGTGGATGATTTTCATGAAGTTTGAGTCAGTTTATAACTTTTACAGGATGCTGAATCCCTTTTTTTCTCTTTGTACCAAGCTTTTTCTTCTGCACTCGCATTTTAGATGGTCTCCTTTTTTTTATTACGTAGTCCACATTGTAGAGTCCCATCTGGTCCCATCCTAAACAATCAGGCTGCACAGAAACTACGTTGTGACACCAGAACCAGAACTCTTTTCAGTCTGGCTCACCCACAACATCCATATAAAAGTTAGTAATTTAGGTTTGGTGCTGTTTTATCACTGAGGTCTGTTGTTGTGGTCGTTTCCATGGTTACGTTAGTTCAACAGCACACTCACCGAGAAAAAGCCAAGCAGAGGTTGTAGTTCCAAAGACAATCCCTCCCATAATGCTTTTGAGATGGCGTCTTTCATTACAGCTCTTCCTTTCTGGTAAACTTTTTTGAAAAACAACTGAAACTTGTCTGTCTGTCTGTCTGTCTGTCTGTCTGTCTGTCTGTCTGTCTGTCTGTCTCAGGGTAGCAGTGATTGGTGGACCATGGACCAATCACTGTCCAGTAGACAGTGTCGTGTGAGCGTGCTCAGTTGTTTCCCACCCTCAGTGGGCAGAGATGTTGTTGTTGCCGTGGTGAAGCCCCTTGGAGCTGGCCTGATAAACCCCGACACCCACAGCCTGCTGCGGAACGACAGACAGGTGTGTGTTTGTGTGTGCGTGAGAGAGAGAGTGTGACCTCTATGGAAAGTTAAACACACACTCAGGTGTTGATATGTAACCTGTATTCATTGTTTTATCAACATTCAACTGAACATTTCACTTAGTTTATATCAGTGAGGGTGGACAAAATAACAGAAACACCTGTCTTTAATTTATTATATAATGTGTTATATAATGTTCACAACCACAAACTAAACACTTTGACCTCCATGAAGGATTTACAACAAGAGCTGATAAACTGGACACATCAGCTGGAAGCTATTGTCCCCATCGGTCTGTGGAGCTCTGAACCTCCAGTTGGGCTTTATGGTCGTCTCCATGTTGGTGTTTAGCAGCCAGCAGAGATCACGTACTGCGAGTTGAGCTGCTCTCATTGGCTGCTCTTGTTTTGGAAACAATGGCTGCTTGCCTGAGGGGTATTGCACAAAACCAAGATAAGGGATTAAGCCAGGATATGTTGGTTATCCTGGCTTAATTTAGCCTCAAGTCGGTTGCATGAAAGCAGCTCAAACTTATCCCGGCCAAGTTACTATGGTGATTTATTCTCTGCTGTTAGCCTGCTCCAGACCAGGCTAACAGCCAGGCTAAGATTAATCCTAGTGATTCACCTGTATTTCCATCGTCAGTCCTGTGAGGAATTAATGTGTTTTACAGCATGTCCATGGTCTTTCTAAGTATGTTGCATCATTTTAATTATCCTGCGTTAAAATATTACATATATATTGTAATTTCTTATTTCATTTAAATCTGTTGGCTGTTTGTAATTGCAACAGTCTTTTTATATTGATTCAAGTGGTAGTATTATTACTCAGGACAAGTGTTATATTGCTATGCTAATGAAGACTGCTTGTCAAATTGCATAAATATTTGTTTATTGCAGTAATTGAGATTACAAAACACAGCTGATGAAGTTGCAAAGCTGTTTTCAATGAAATCTGTGACAAGGGCAAAATAATATATATATTATGGCATACCATTTAAGAAATTAATCTTTGAATATATAGAATGAAACTTTGAATATATGGAATGAATCTTTTAATATATTTAATGAATCTTTGAATATATAGAATGAAACTTTGAATATATTGAATGAAACTTGACTGGTCATCAAGGCACTGCTGCCATCTTGTAGAAGTGAGAATGAGTCAGTCAGGAACCTTGTGGCAGCAATACTGAGCAATGAGGACATTATTAACTCATTGGTAAGTGCTTGTACGGGCCACAATCCTTCCCATAGTACCCGTGCCCAATACCGTTCTCCTGACGAAGAAGTTCACTCCCTTTTTAATGGTGGCAGGCCGACTACAACAGGCCTCAGGCTAAATCCTGACAGAAAAAGCAAAAAACTCTAAAATCTACACCTGGCTTAACATAGCCGCACCTTTTAATCCTGGCTCGGCAAACGTGCAACCAATTAAGCCAGGATGCGCCGAGCAGGCGTAGGTGTAGATAGTCGGGATAAGTGCGTGTTCACGGCATACTGAACTAGACCTCGCGATCGCTCACAGAATCACCGATGGGAACATGGATAAGAGTCGCGCTTCATATCTCACGGCCGCTGAACAACAGCTCCTGATGGAGTTCTATGAAGAGGTGGAAGATATCATAAGAAAAAAAGGCAATACCAATGCCATAATTAAAGAAAGAGAGAAAGCCTGGCAGACAATAGCGGACCGGCTTAATGCTTAAGTAGTCCAAAACTGTACAATGAATAAACAGTGCTCCACTGGAACTGTCATCATTAGGCTCCAATTAAAGGACTAAAGGAGTTACTTTAAGTCCACTAATCAACTGTTGTACACTTTGCTTTAAATGTGGCAAGTAGAGGTGCATGTTACTTAAATGTAGAGTATGATTAAGTGCAAACAATTATCCACAATGTGTGTCATTTAATCTATTTTAATCTATTTTATCTTTCTATCCTTCATAAAGAACAAACTTGTCTGACCATAAAAGGACCTGGCAGCAAGTTAAAATTAAATACAAGAACATTTTGCAGGCTGGAAAGTGACTTTAAAGTAGATAACAGTGAATAAATGAGGTGAATAGATTAGGTGTCTGCTGACATGTTGAATGTCTGTATGATTGTAGCAGTTTTAAAAAAGCCCATAGAACTGGCACGGCGGCCCACCAAGCCAGGATATGTGCGGCAAATGGTTCCTTTATTGAGGTTCTCTGCATCCCCAACAGAATAAAGGAAGCTCCCACTTGCAAAACATCTCACTGTAACACAGACCATCTGTGGTACAGTGAGAGCATGGCTTCCTGCCGTCTGGTGCTGTATTTTTGGACCCAGCAGCCTACATAAATATCTTAGTCCATCACCTGAGAATCGGTATCTCTCAATGAGATAGTCATCTCCAACAGCCAATGGGTCTGACCTGTCCCGGAAGACTCTTTCATGACTAAATGCTCGTCTGAGGATTAGGGCTTCCTCATCCAGTACATCCTCCAAGAAAGGGCAAGCCATTATGAAGAGGGAACAGGTGTGAATAATATATATATATATATATATATATATATATATATATATATATATATATGTATATATATATATTATGGCATGCCGTTTAGGAAATGAAGCTTTGGACATATGGAATGAAGCTTGGATATACTGATAAAAATGTGATAATACTGAATGAAATTCAAAACCTAGTTTTATCCTTTTCATCAAAGTGATAGCCTTCTGAATTAGCTGGTTTTACAAAATGGCATCAGTTGTAATATTACAATACTTTCTTAAACTGGAAAACTTTTTTGCTTTTTCTGTCAGGATTTAGCCTGAGGCCTGTTGTAGTCGGCCTGCCACCATTAAAAAGAACTTCTTCGTCAGGAGAACGGTATTGGGCACGGGTACTATGGGAAGGATTGTGGCCCGTACAAGCACTTACCAATGAGTTAATAATGTCCTCATTGATCAGTATTGCTGCCACAAGGTTCCTGACTGACTCATTCTCACTTCTACAAGATGGCAGCAGTGCCTTGATGACCAGTCAAGTTTCATTCAATATATTCAAAGTTTCATTCCATATATTCAAAGATTCATTCTATATATTCAAAGATTAATCTCTTAAACGGTATGCCATAATATATATATTATTTTGCCCTTGTCACAGATTTCATTGAAAACACCTTTGCAACTTCATCAGCTGTGTTTTGTAATCTCAATTACTGCAATAACACACATATTTATGCAATTTGACAAGCAGTCTTCATTAGCATAGCAATATAACACTTGTCCTGAGTAATAATACTTCCACTTGAATCAATATAAAAAGACTGTTGCAATTACAAACAGCCAACAGATTTAAATGAAATAAGAAATTACAATATATATGTAATATTTTAATGCAGGATAATTAAAATGATGTAATATACTTAGAAAGACCATGGACATGCTGTAAAACACATTAATTCCTCACAGGATTGACGGTGGAAATACAGGTGAATCACTAGGATTAATGGTAGCCTGGCTGTTAGCCTGGTCTGGAGCAGGCTAACTGCAGAGAATAAATCACCATAGTAACTTGGCCGGGATAAGTTTAACCTGCTTTCATGCAACCGACTTGAGGCTAAATTAAGCCAGGATAACCAACATATCCCGGCTTAATCCCTTATCCTGGTTTTGTGCAATACCCCTCTGGTATACTAGATAAACAGTAAAATATGTTTGTGAACAGATTTAAAGAGAGAAATAGTCAACAACAGAATCTGGAACTTCTCCATAAGACTCAATACCCTCTGAGTGGAGCTGCCCCCTGTGGGACATTGGAGAGAATACAGGTTTAACACACTGTCCATTATATAGACTGTCAATGATACCGATGCAGTGATTAGGTAAAGTATGTTTGTGTCTTTAGGTGAAGTGGACAATGGAGGTGCTGTGTTATGGTTTAACTCTCTCATTGGACGGAGACACAGTCAAACTCTGTGTGGACGTCTACACTGATTGGGTGATGGCCCTGGTTTCCCCGAGAGACTCCATCCCTCCACCAATCAGCAGAGAGCCCAACCTGTATGTGCAGAAGATCCTCCGACACCTGTACAGCCTGTTTATACCCAGGTAGACTGATCCCAGATGGAACTTTAGGAGGTCACTGAAGGGTTCTAATTCTTGTTTTGGAGGTTGTAGTGGTCACTGCAGAAATTTTAGGAGGTTCTCACTCTAGATTCTAGGCTCTTTGGATCTTTATATGTGGTGTCTAATGCTCATTGAAGAGCTTATTAGTTGTCCTGTAGGTGGATGTATTTATCTTTTAGGGTTTTTAGAGGTTCTCTGTTCTGTGGATGACTTATTTTTGTTTGTAACTATAATCTTGGAGGCAAGCGTTCTACAAAGACGAGTCTGTAAAGTTGATATTCTAGATAATAACCCCCACCTCCCCACAGGTCAGAACAGGTGAGTTCGGTCTACCTGTCGCTCTGTCAGCAGGTGTTGTGTGCAGTTCAGTTGTTGGCCAGAGAAAGCACTGTGATGAGCAGAGACACCTGGGAGACTCTGCTGCACTTCCTGCTACGTATCAACCACGCTATTCTGGCTCAGCCTACCACTACAGGTGAGCCCACCCCTTTGTGTCCTGATCCATCTCTTTGTCTGCCTGTGTCTGTCCTGTCTGCCCTCACCTGTCTGTCTCTCTCTGCAGGCAGTGTATGGGAGCAGCTGTCCGAACTTGCGATGGTGGTGCTGTTTGACGTCTGGTTGCTGTCTTGCTCTCGCTGTTTTCCATCTCGCTCTCTGTGGCTAATGGCCAGACAGATGTTGAGCAGCTGGAGACATCAGCCTCCAGTGGTGGAGCAGTGGAGCCGAGTCATCACAGCCCTGACCTCCAGGTACACAACCCAACCGCCAACAAACCAACCAAGCATACCAAACAAACAAACTTAGGTCAAATGAACCAACCAACAAAAAAAACTAAATACATAAAATCAATACCCAACATGCAAACAATACAACCAACACATCAAAAAATCAATAAATAAATGAAAAAAGAAACCAAACAAACATCAAGCCAACAAATGAAAAACCAACAAACATCCGAAAAAAACAACTAACAACCCACAAAACGAAAAGAAAAAAAAAGGAAATATACGAACCAATCCAACATAGAAACCCAACAAACCAACCAGAAACCAACTGAACAAAACCAACAAACTAAACAGACCAACTGTCACGACCGAACTATGGACTAGAACCCAATTGCACAACTCAGACAAAAGTATCAAAATAAAGTTTTATTAAAACAATAAACACTCTTGCGAGGTAATACTAGGACTAAAACAAACAGAAAATCACAAGCAAACAAAACAACAAGACCTGACAATTGGACATGGATCGATAAAGCGCTGGTTCTCTGGTGCATGGGACAAGACGAACTGGCACAGGACAAAGGGAGACACGGACTATATATACACACACAAGGTAAGGGCACAGGTGGAAACAATCAGGGCGGAGACAGCTAATCCCAGGAGCGGGAAAAGAGACAAAGGGAGAAAGTAAAGCTGGTGACAAGAGACAGACAGGAAGTAGAACCAAAATAAAACAGGAAATTACAAGACAACATAGACACGTGACAAAACAGAATAAATAAACTTAACAAAGTTTCCTGGACATGACAGTACCCCCCCCCTCTAGGGACGGCTCCTGACAGACCAGGAACCTGAGGATGACGGTTGTGGAAGTCTCTGATGAGGGCTGGGTCCATAATAAAGCTTGAGCGTACCCACAAGCGTTCTTCCGGGCCATAGCCCTGCCAGTCCACCAGATACTGGCATCCTCTTCCACGGTTACGAACTGCTAAGAGTCTCTTAACTGAGAAGACTGGACCACCGTCGACCATTCGGGGGGGTGGAGGAGGTACGGCTGCGGGAACCATGGGACTCTCCTTAACCGGTTTGAGCTTGCCAACATGAAAAGTAGGATGCACCCTCAGGGACCTGGGAAGGCGCAGACGGACAGAGACAGGATTAATCACTTTGGACACAGGGAATGGACCCACAAACCTGGGAGCCAACTTCCGGGAGACGACATGGAGTGGCAAATCCCGTGTTGAAAGCCAGACTTTCTGGCCTGGCTGGTATGCAGGAGCAGGTCGGCGCCTCCGATTTGCAGCCTTCTTCATGCAGTCCGCACTACGCAGGAGGACCCTATGAGCAGCTGTCCAGATGCGGTGGCAACGCCGGACCATGGCATGGGCAGACGGGACGATGACCTCTTTCTCTGTCTCTGGAAACAAGGGTGGTTGGTAGCCAAAGACACACTGGAAGGGAGTCAGCCGTGTGGCCGCAGTGGGAAGAGAATTGTGGGCGTATTCCACCCAAGTCAGATGCTTGCTCCAGGACACTTGGTTCTGAGATACCAGGCAACGGAGGCAAGTCTCCAGTTCCTGGTTGAGCCGCTCCGTTTGTCCATTGGACTCAGGGTGGTATCCAGACGAGAGGCTGACGGTGGCACCGATCAAACTGCAGAATTCCTTCCTGAACTGAGAGATGAATTGGGGCCCTCGATCTGACACAATGTCTTTAGGAAAGCCATGGATGCGAAAGACATTATTTAACATGATTTCTGCCGTCTCTTTGGCGGACGGCAGTTTTGGCAAGGCAATAAAATGAGTCATCTTAGAGAATCTGTCCACCACTGTAAGAACAGTTAAATAAACTTAAAGTTTCCTGGACATGACACCAACCAAACAAACCCAAACAACAACCAACAAACTAAATAACCAACATACACAAACATAAAGCAACAGTGTGTTCAGCGTGTTGAGGTTGTTTTTGTTTTTGTTGTTTGTTAAGGTTGTTGCTTCTGACCTTCGGGCCGTCCTTCCCTCACTTTAAAGTCCCAGATGAAGATGCTGTTCTGATACCTGCAAACATGGACAACCAACAAGTCTCTCACACCTGGTTCAGGTTCCTGCACCTGCTCAGGTAACAACATCAAACTGGATTTTTTCATCTTTATTGTGATATCATTTCTCTTGTTCCATATTTTAATAATATCAGTAGCTCAGTACAAATGGACTTTGCTTTGGGACTAGAGGGTGGCCAGTTCAATATGAAGGTGGACTGGTAGCTGGTGAGGTGCCAATAGGACACTGTGGAGGTTCCCTGGAGCAAGGCACCTAACCACTCTGGGTGCTGTACTACAGCACACCCAGTGCTCTGACATATTTCCCCAAGGACCGTCCCCACCACTGAGGTCACAAGGTCCTGATTTCAGTATTTTTATCCAAGGGGTATAAAATAAAATAAAAATATTTGGATGCTTTAATTTATCCCCCGAAACGCAAGGTCACTTTTTTAACCCTGCATACAACATTGCTGGTGAGGGACTCCTAAACAACTGCAAAACTGTATCTGTGTAAACACAGCTAACTTAATGCTATGGTAGCTGGAAAGGTGCCAATTCTCTGAAAACACTGAAAATGTCCTTGTTTAAATGGAATAATAAAGAATAAGGGGTATGATTATGTTGTGTTTAGAGCTAAAGTTGTGCTGAATTGGGTACTGGCAACTTTTAGGTCCACTTCAGGTACTGCTTCAAAGGTCAATAAATGTTCTACTTCCAGTAACCCAGTGGACCTCAGACGCCTGTTTGTTGCTGGTTCCATTCCATCCTCCCAGGAGGAGGCGTTAAGAGCAGACCGTCAGCTGCCAAACATCTTCTTCAGAGCCATGAGAGGAGTCAGCATGGTAGTCGACGCCTTCCTAGGTACACTGACCACTGTACTTATCTTTTTAGATAGAATCTAACATCATATATGACGACTCAATCAATAAAAACTATTAATGTGAAAAACAAATAAATGAATAACTAAAATAATTTAATTTTACACCCTGAATTTTATTCTTTTTCTTTTTTTTTACCAATATATAGTTGGTGTGAGGAGTAACTGTTTCCTGTAACCTGTGTTTCTGCAGGTGTGACTGTGACCAACAAAGAACCAACTGAGCAGCTGCTGGAAAAAACAGGTATATACACATTATTAATATACAATGGTATATACACATTATTAATATACACTGGTATATACACATTATTAATATACACAGTATATACAAATTATTGATATACACTGTATATACACATTACTTATATACACATTACTTATTATTATTGTTACTGTTACAGTTGTTGTTGTTTTTTCAGGACTAACAACAAGGATTCATTTCAGAGACTGGTTGCCTTCTCTAGGTAAACCAGATTAACCCAAACTGATTAGATTCATCCAATCAATAAACTAATCAAAGCAGAGCTACTGTGAGTCCTCTGACAGGAGAACCAGAACCTGTTCTGCTCACTGTTGGACCCACTGGGGAAAAAAATTATTTGATTGATTAAAGATTGATAAAGTTGATCAAAACTAAACTTTAGTCTCGGTACTGACGTTTTGTCTTCAGTTTGAGAATGTCTTTCCCCTTGTCTCCTCCAGGTGTTGCTGTGACCAGGAGCCCATTCAGAGACCGCCTCCCCTCCTATGGTAAGCACTGCCCTACTGCTTCCCTTCCTCATCTGATTGGAGGTTTTCGAGGCCGCAGAAACAAAGCAGAACACCTGTTTTCTGGTCTCCCCAGGTCTTTCTCGACCTCGCTCTGGCAGTGCCCCACCCACCCCTGTGAACATACTGAGTGTCCCAAGTGCCCCTCCCACCACCACCACCTCCTCCCCTCCACACAACAGACGAATAAAACCTGCAAATGTTTCTAAGGCAACCAGCAAACCCCCAGTGGTAAGAAAGTGTTTGTGGAATCTGTGTACCTGTCCGCGTATAGGACTCTGCTCTGGTCCTGGTATGTTGAACCATATTTTGAGTTATGGACTAGATTCTTCTCTCCTCTTAGACAACTCCATCCCCCCATCACTGGAAGTTCCCACCCCCTCATCCTTCCTCCCCTCCCTCTCTTTGCTCCTCCTCCCGATCTCCCCCCTCCCCCCTGAGGTGTAACATGGACTCCCTCCTGCACCTGTTTGGCTGCTGGCTGTTTGATGCTGCTCTGATCAACAGAAACCCTGGTCTCCCTGGTCAGTGCTCAATACTATAATATACACAGTATAGGTAATCTACAGTACAGGTATCCTACAGTACAGGTACAGGTACTTCATCGTACAGCACAGGTAATTCATCCTACAGTACAGGTACAGGTACTTCATCCTACAGTACAGGTACTTCATCCTACAGTACAGGTATTTCATCCTACAGTACAGGTACTTCATCCTACAGTACAGGTACTGGTAGTTCATCCTACAGTACAGGTACTTCATCCTACAGTACAGGTACAGGTAGTTCATCCTACAGTACAGGTACTTCATCCTACAGTACAGGTACAGGTAAAGGTAGTTCATCCTACAGTACAGGTACAGGTATTTCATCCTACGGTACTCTTTGTTTCTTCTCCAGCTGGTCACTGTGATGTCACTGTGATGTCAGACAGGTGGTCAGCTGGTCGAGCTGAGGCCTGTGGGACGCTCTGCAGGATCTTCACCTGTAAGAAAACTGCAGAGGACATCCTACCTGTCTACCTGTCCAGGTACTTGAATCCTACACAAATCCTAAATCCTACACATTGGACCTTTAATCTAAAAGTTTGTTTGTATTCTCCCTCTTCTGTCTGATTTACAGGTTCTACCTGGTTCTCCTGCAGGGTCTCCAGGTGTCGGAGGAGGCGTGTCCTCCTGTTCTGGCCTCCATTCTGCTAAACTCCACCTGTCTGTTCTGCTGTGACCTGAGAGGAGTCAACCTGCTACTCCCATCCTTCCTCTCAGCTGTGGAGAACGTACTGCTCGACAGGTACAAGTACTGCAAATATCACTGTGAATACTAGTATTACAGTACAATAGAGTCACCTGACCGACAGGTAAATCTCTCTGTCCGTCTGTCTGTCTGTCTGTGTCTCTTGCCCAGAGAGCTGTTGCGGTTTAAGAATTTTGTGAGTCTAGTGGATTTGAGGCGAGCCTCTATCCTCATCCTGTTGTCCCTGCTGCCCCTCCCTCAGCAGTTTCCCTCCGTCCAGTCAGAGGTAAGCTTCTATCCACCCGATTAAACACCTGCACACACCTGTGTAGGCCCTCACAGGTGAGGTAGGGTATCTAGTAACATACAGCTGTGTATGTTTCCAGGTGTTATTAGATGGGAGGTTCAATGGTGATGATGTAACAGCAGATAGCTTCCTGTACCTGAAGCCCCACCTCCTCAGTGTTCTGATTGGAGCTCTGCACACAGAGACCGATGCTTCCAACACACAGATCATCCTGGGTCAGTCCCACATTACTGATCTTTGATCAAACCTGATTCTATGACTCATCTGACTGCGTTCATTAACTCACTCATTCATTCATTCATTCATTAATCATCATGTTGTCTTGTAGCTGTAAAACACAGCGCATTGTAGGATTGTTAGCAGACAATAGTGTAAACTGTATGTCGGAGTACCTCTATTGTTGATAAATTGTGTGTGTGTGTGTGTGTGTGTGTGTGTGTGTGTGTGTGTGTGTGTGTGTGTGTGTGTGTGTGTGTATGCTGTATACATGACTGGTTTTCTGTGTAATGTTTTCTACAGGGGCCATGTTGAACCTGGTTCAGGACTCGACTCTGTTAGAAGCTGCAGGACAAACCCAGCAGGTCCTCCTGATCCACAATGTGTCACATTATTAAAGATCTAAATACACTCACTGTTTTAACATTCTTTATAAGTACCCTAATTCAGCACAACATAACCATGCTTTCTGCTGATACTGTATATCCTGTGTTATGATGTCCGTCACTTTACATTTCACTGTTCTTCCTCAAGTTCCTGGACTTATAATAACATTCAGAACTAAATCATTTAACAGCCTCAAACTCAAAATGAAATACACATTCTATGTAAGAAGAGAAAATCAGCTAGCAGGAGGCACTAACAGGACGTTACACCATCATTCTGGGTTTTCTTTTATTGTCAGAAAAACTAAAACGCTTGATTTACTTTTGTTTTCAGGAAACTGAGTCCCAGCATGGAGGAGCTGCTAGACCCAGGAGGACTGGGGGAACCAGGGGAACCAGTGCAAACAGACGGACCAGAGGAACCTGTAGATAATTATGATTGGATTTTATATCATTATTTAACTGACTTGATTTGACTTGTGATGGAAATCTGAGAGCAAATGTCTGTGTATGTGTGTGTGTGTGTGTGTGTGTGTGTGTGTGTGTGTGTGTGTGTGTGTGTGTGTTACCCTGGTAACCAGCCATCCAGTCAGACACAGCGGCGATCCTGTGGGTTCAGTTTGTTCGTCTGCTGACTCAGCGTCTGACGGCTCAATGGAAGAATGACTCCGCAGTTTGTCTGTCTGCACTGGAAGTACTGGGAGGACTGGCCAAGGTGGATGCACCTGCGCACACACACACACACACAAGTAACTGTTCCTTGTAGCTCCTGTTAGTGAACCTGTCCTGTGCTCCTGCAGGTGCAGGTGAGTGTGGAGGACAGTGAGAGGAGGCGAGCGCTCTCCTCAGTCTGTAGTTACATTGTGTTTCAGTGCAGTCGTCCTCCTCCTCTTCACTCCAGAGACCTTCACTCTATCATTGTTGCTGCTTTCTACTGTCTGAACGTCTGGTTGACTCAACACCCTGCCATGCTCCACCAACAGGTACCTGACACACAGATGATCAGTTAGTTGTGTACTAGTGTGTGTGTGTTACAGTATAGATCAGCCATTACATTCACTAACAGGTATATATATACTTATAAATATGTATATACACGAATCAGCCCTAACACAGTGAGAACTGCCAGTAACACTGATTATCTGGTTATCAGGGCTCCTGTCAGTGGGGGGGTATATCAGACAGACAGTGAACAGAGTTGATGTGTTAGAAGCAGGAAAAATGGGCAGCATGAGCATCTGATCCACTTTGACAAGAACCACATTGTGATGGACGACTGGGTCAGAACATCTCCAAACCTGCAGCTCTTGTGGGGGGTTCCCGGTCTGCAGAGATCAGTACCTATCAAAAGTGGTCCAAGGAAGGAACGGAACCAGAGACAGGGTCGTGAGGGGCCGAGGCTCATTGATGCTCGTGGGGAGTGAAGGCTGGCCCGTGTGTTCCGATTCAACAGACGAGCTACTGTAGCTCAAACTGCTGAAACAGTTAATGCTGGTTCTGATAGAAAGGGGTCAGAACACAGTGCAGAGCAGTCTGTTGGTCTGGGACCAGTCGGGGAGTCCATACTGACAACCGTCCACTGTCCACCTACAATATGAGCATTAGAACTGGACCACGGAGCAATGGAAGAAGGTGGCCCGGTCTGATCACGTTTTCTTTTACAACTTGTGGATGGCCGGGTTCGTGTGCATCGCTTACCTGGGGAACACATGTCACCAGGATGCATTATGGGAAGAAGGCTAGGAGGCATTGTCATGCTTTGGGCAATGTTCTGCTAGGAAACCTTTGGTCCTGCCATTCATGTGGATGTCACTTTGACACGTAGCACCTACCTAAGCGCTGTTGCAAACCATGTACACTCTTTGATGGAAACGGTGTTCAATATTATTTATTCATCATTCATTCATTATATATATATATATATTCAGTACATGTCCAGTCTTTTACTAAGCTACCTGCTATAGCTCAATAAACTCCCCACTGGAAGGGTTTCAGGACAAGTACGACGGATACGACTCGAGTCACTTTATGAACTTTTATTGCGCACACATACATAATAAGCATCCACACACTAGCTTGACTGCTACCGCTACGCTAGCCTGTCAGCTTGACAATTAGCTAGTTAGTTGGTAAGTTAGTTAGTTAGTTAGTTAGTTAGTTAGGTAGTTAGGTTGTAAACCTGCAATGAAAACACAAACACAAAACCCAGAATTAACTAATGAAATTATACAATCATTCATGTGATATTAATTCTTGATTTGAATTACTAGCAATGCTAGTTTATAGTCACTCACCGGCAAGGCGTACCAGTCCTGACCATCAATTGAATGAAAATGCAACCTAAAGGCGTGGCCACCTGCGCACTGTGACTAAGTATGCATACACAGACACACAGTCTGGAGACCAGGAACGATAATAAAACAAACCTGTAACCTGGTATGATTATAACATATATAAAATATAACATACAATATGCCTGCATTCGGAATAATTCAATTCAATTCAATTTTATTTGTATAGCGCCAATTCATAACAGAAGTTATCTCAGGACACTTTTCAAATAGAGCAGGTCTAGACCGAACTCTTTAAAACATTAATTACAGAAGCCCAACAGTACCACCATGAGCAAGACCTTGGAGACAAGGGCAAGGAAAAACTGCCTGTTAAAAGGCAGAAACCTAGGACAGATCCTTCGGCTCTAGGTGGGTGGTCGTCTGTCTCGACCAGTTGGGGTGAGAGAGAGAGAGAGAGAGAGGCAGAGAGAGAGAGAGCGAGAGACAGACAGACATGTGCACAGCAACAACAGTATTGGCAATGGCAATCTAGCAGGACCATGGCAGGAGGCTCCACCAGGATCGACGAGAAAGCACAAGAACTCCGGGGAAGAAGTGAAGTTAGTAACATGCATTAAAGGGACATGAATGAGTGCAGAAAGAGAGAGGAAGGGAGGAGCTCAGTGCACCATGGGAAATCCCCCGATAGTCTAGGCCTATAGCAGCATAACTAAGGGATGGTTCAGGACTCACCTGATCCAGCCCTAACTATAAGCTTTATCAAAGAGGAATGTCTTAAGCCTACTCTTGAATGTGGTGAGGGTGTCTGCCTCCCGAACCACAACTGGAAGCTGGTTCCACAGGAGAGGAGCTTGGTAACTGAAGGCTCTGGCTCCTGTTCTACTTTTAGAGACTATAGGAACCACAAGTAGCCCAGCATTCAGAGAACGTAGTGTTCTAGAGGGGTAATAGGGTACTATGAGCTCTTTAAGATATGAAGGGGCCTGACCATGAAGAGCTTTATAGGTGAGGAGGAGGATTTTAAATTCTATTCTACATTTTACAGGGAGCCAATGCAGAGAAGCTAGTACAGGAGAGATGTGATCTCTTTTTCTAGTTCCGTTCTGAATTAATTGGAGCGTTTTAATGGACTTATTGGGGCAACCTGATAATAAAGAGTTGCAGTAATCCAGACTTGAAGTAACAAATGCATGGATTAGTTTTTCTGCATCTGTCTGTGATAGGATGTGTCTAATTTTTCTAATATTACGTAAATGAAAGAAGGCAGTCCTAGAGGTCTGCTTTATGTGGGAGTTAAATGACAAATCCTGATCAAAGATAACTCCAAGATTCCTGACAGTGGTGCTAGAGGCCAAGTTAATGCCATCTAGAGTAACTATATCTTTAGACAGTGAGTCTCTAAGGTTTTTGGGGCCAAGAACAAGAATTTCGTTTTTTTCTGAGTTTAACATCAGAAAATTGCAGGTCATCCAGGATTTTATGTCCTTAAGACATGTTTGTAATTTAGATAATTGATTAATTTCATTGGGCTTGATTGATAGATATAACTGCGTATCATCTGCATAACAGTGAAAGTTAATGGAGTGATTCCTAATAATGTTGCCTAAAGGGAGCATATATAAAGTAAATAGTATTGGTCCAAGTACAGAACCTTGTGGAACTCCATGACTAACTGTAGTATTTATTGAAGATTCATCGTTAACATGTACAAACTGCGAGCGATCTGATAAATATGACTTAAACCAGCTTAGTGCGGTTCCTTTAATGCCAATTTGATGCTCAAGTCTCTCTAAAAGAATATTATGGTCAATGGTGTCAAATGCAGCACTAAGATCTAATAAAGGTGGTAAATGTACACACTTATTTCCTCAAATACCCCAGAACATAATCATAACATCTATCACTTTTAATATATATATATATATATATATATATATATATATATAAAGCAATAGTTACACCTGCTGGAAAGTTCTACAGTACATGTTGTATATATACTCTTTGTAATTTGTGTGTTTTGAGGAGTGTTTGTTGGAGGTCCTGGAGATTGTAGAATTGGGGATTTCAGGCAGTAAGTCCAGACAGGAACAGGAAGTCAGATGTAAAGAGGAGAAGGAACTGAACCCGGCCTCTCTGAGGGTGAAGGAGGCAGCTGAAGCCACACTGAGCTGGTGAGCAACACAAACACACCTATAAAGGATATAAATAGGAGCTGATCTCCACTAATGACTTCAGTAATCAGACTTCACTTTCTGAACTTTGGAGCCAATTCCAGAACACATTTTCACAATGTTTTGAATTATTGAGCTAGTTCCTGTGCAATCATTATTGTTCAGATTTAGACCAGGCGATTAATCATGTGTTGTGACCTTAAACTGCATGTCAAATGACAACTAATTCGTCCTGGTTGTAAAACCAGTCCGGCACAACCAGTTAGCGGGCTAAACTGGGGCCTGGACTGTGTATATCTGGGATAACACAAGAATTATATCTCAGTGTCATGCAGGTTTCTGTGGCCTTCCCATTCCTCGGAGGCCCGCTGGATGAGAGTGATCTGATTGGCTGCTCCACTTTGAGTGACAACAGTGGGAAGAAGTTCAGGTATTTTGTGGTGGACAGCTCAGTGATCTTGGCCATGCTGGAAGACCCACAAGGACCTGAACCAGGTTAGTCCTGACTCACTGTATTTAACCTTCATTTAGGCAGGGAAAACCCTCTAAAAGAACAAGACCTCCTGGTGGCCTGGATACACAACAAGGTTCAGATGATCAACAGGTCAATGAACAAAGCGGGAACACTCAGGAACAACTGAAGTTGATGATTAACAAACGATTCAATGGTCTATGTATCTTGGTCTCTCCAGTCTTCACCCTAATGAAGTGGAAACACATGAGCAGTTTTACAGATCTTAGGGTAAATGGTAAATGGTAAATGGACCTGTACTTGTATAGTGCCTTTCTAGTCTTCCGACCACTCAAAGCGCTTTTACACTACATGCCACATTCACCCTTTCACACACATTCACTCAGTGATGGCAAAGCCCATCAAACAGGAACTAACATATTCATACACATTCACACACTGATGCTCAGCATCAGGAGCAATTTGGGGTTCAGTATCTTGCTCAAGGATACTTTGACATGTGGTGGGAGGATCCGGGGATCGAACGAACAACCTTCCAATTAGTGGACAACCTGCTCTGCCTCTGACAGAAGACTTGAGCGAGACACTGAACCCCAGATTGTTCCCAATGCTGTGTTATCAGTGTGTCATCAGTGTGTGAATGTGAATTGGCGCTATACAAATAAAATTGAATTGAATTGATGTTATGTATGACGTTTTCTGTCATCATCAGTCCAACATTTCCACATCAGACTGATGACAAAGTGATTAACATTTGAGGCTGATGTAACTTCCTCCTGACTGATACATTTGTGTGATTGATTAATCGATCAATCAGCTGTAAAGACCGTATAATATTTTATTGATTTGTTTGTACAGCGTCGTGTCCGTCGCTCACTATGCTGATCAGAGGACCATCAGGACGTCACACCTGGACTCTACAACTCCACCTGCAGCCCAGAGAAGGACGCACACACACACAGGTGACCAAATACAATAAATTATTATACTCCTGTGTGTTTCACAGGTCTCAGATCAGTGTTTTATCTCTTGTCTGTTGATCTACTGCAGCAGACTCTGATCCCTGAACACCGCGGTAAACCCCAGGAGGACTCTGGGATACAATGTGGCGTCAAACATCAGCTGTTTCCTGAACACATGGACAGGGTTCCTTCAGTTAAAGCAGATCTGAGTATTCCAGCCCTGCACGAGACATTTCCTAAAGAGGTAAGAACCTGGTCCAACCAAGAACCAGATCGTTCTGAAACCTGTACGTATCACCTGTGATGTTCCTCAGGGATCCGTTTATGGCCTCTTTGTTTCACTTCCTGTCTTGTGGTGGATGCTTTCTGAAGCTCAAAGCTAAAGAGTGACAGGTGTTCTGTGTGTGGAATGTTTTTGCTTTGAAAAGAACTTGTTCTTCAGGTGTTAACTCTTACCCTTGTCTGTCAGGTCCAGAAGCAGCTGGAGCACCTGCAGGAAGTGATACAGAGGCAGCAACAGGTAGAGGCTCAGCCGCAGGTGAGAGGGCGGTCCATCATCATGACGACCTGCAGGCCGCCACCCCCTGCCACCAAGTTCCAGACAGCGAGACTCTTCCTCTCCCACCTGGGCCTGCTGACACCTGAGACTCTGAAGGTACCAAGGACAGGATGGAGATTGATGTACTGATTTATTCATTTGGATCTGTCTCCCTCTCACCTGTCTCTCTGTAGGATCCAGGTACCAGCGGTGTTCCGGCTCAGCTGGTGTCTTTGGACTCAACTCTTCCAGGTTTCTCTGAGAATCTGAGACGTTTGGACCAGCTGCCATCAAGAAACTGTGACTCGGCCTTCATCTTCTACATGAAAGCAGGACAGAGGACAGCTGCTGAGGTCACTATCACCTGTCTGTCTTACCTGTCTGTCTCACCTGTCTGACTCTCTGTCTCACTTGTCTCTATATTGATCATTTACACTATTCAAATAAGCTAATCAAAGCTGTTCCTTAGTATGATGTCACATCTTATTCCTCCTTTCTGTCTCTCTCCCTCACCTGTTTATCTGACATGTCTGTCTGTTCCTTCCCTCACCTGTCTGTTTCTAACCTGCCTGTCTCTCTGTAGATCCTGAAAAACGTGGAGTCCAGCTGCAACATCCCGTCTCACTTCCTTGACTTCCTGTCATCTCTCGGTCAGCCCGTGGAGGTGGGCCAACAACAGGTGTGCGGAGTCAGCACCAACAGTTCAGGTGTGTGATCTGATTGGTCGCCTCTCAACCACATGATGATATCAGAGGTTATCTGAGGTCACCAATCTCCCTGAAGCTGATTGGAGTATTTCTGTCTCCCAGAATTCTCGGCTGTGCTGGGTGACAGTGGAGGTGGTGTGTTTAATGGAGAGAGGTTTGTCCTGATGTATGCCGACGATCTGACAGAGATCACCTTCATTGTCCCATCATCATCATCATCATCATCATCATCATCATCAAACCACATCAGGACAGGTGTGACCATATAAAGACAGTTGTGACCACATATAAGGACAGGTGTGACCGTATAAGGATGTCTGTTACCATATAGGGATGTCTCTGACCGTATAAGGACAGGTGTGGCCAGGTAAAGATAGGCAACACCATAAGGATGGGTGTGGCCTAATAAGGACAGGTGTGAAGGCTCAATGCGTAAAGTATGTGAAACTGAAGATATTTCCATTGACTTTTAAATTAAATTGTTTTTTTTTTAATTAAAGCAGTTGATGGGATGAAGAGTCCAGAGGAGGTGGAGCCTCCAGCTGAGCCGCCATCTAACCTGCAGAGTAATTCAGACTTCTGCCAAGACTGCACCCCCCAACCCACAGTACAGACCTTCAAATTAAAAGCTTTTTTTAATCTGGTTATAACCTCTCTGTATGCAGATCTGTTGTCAAATATTCCCTGTCTGTCTGTCCGTCTGTCTGTCTGTCTGTCCAGAGTTATCCAGGTGAAGACATGAAGTCTTTTCGTTTTGCGTTGTCGTCCGTTGGCTCTGAATCTAAACTCCTGATCGTTTGGGTGGAACACTTTGAGGACATCGGTAATTAACGTTATATTCACAGTATGATTACTACCTACAGTATCACTATTACTACTTCTAACTAGTACTACAGTATTACTATTACTACAGTTTTACTATTCCAACTAGTAACTAGTACTACAGTATTACAATTACTACAGTATTATTATTACCTCTACTACTTCCAACTAGTACTACAGTATTACTATTACTACTACCAACTAGTACTACATTGCTACTACTAACTAGTAACTAGTACTACAGTATTACCATTACTAGATGTAAATAATTAAAACTGAAGTCAAGGAAAATTTAATCATTTGTGAGGTTTGACTTGGGGAATTTTATGTTTCAGAAAGTTTCCCGCTGTCTGATCTGCTGTCTGAGACAAACACAGAAACTCCAACGAGGTAAAACTCACAGTCCACACAGTTTCTGTCTGTCTGTCTGTCTGTCTGTCTGTCTGTCTGTGTCTCACTCAGTCAGTCTGTCTGTCTGTCTGTCTGTCTGTCTGTCTGTCTGTGTCTCACTCTGTCTGTCTGTCTGTCTGTCTGTCTGTCTCACTGACTGTCTGTCTGTCTGTTAGTGTCCAGCTGATCTTCATCCATCCTCTGAAAACTGGACTCTACAGGATCCGTTTCCACGGAAAAACCACCAGCAAGTTCAGCTTGGTTGTCCCACTGGTCAACGGGAGCGTGGTCAGCAAGAGGTCCCTGGGTATGTCTACCTGTCTGTCTGACTGTGAGACAGACAGTTAGACGTCTGTCTGACTGTCAGTTTGATTTACAGAAACCAAACAGTTCCCACCATGAGCAAGACCTTGGAGACAGCGGCAAGGAAAAACTTCCTTTAAGAGGCAGAAACCTCAGACAGACCCTGGCTCTAGGTGGGAGAGAGAGAGAGAGAGAGACAGAGAGACAGAGAGACAGACAGAGATGCACAGCAACAACTATATTACAGTTTTTCTCAGTCGCTTTGGTGCATTTCTCACATCACTATTTACATTCGCACAACAGGTAATGCATTTCTCAAAACAATTAGTAGAAACTGCAAAACCTAGTTGATAACCTGCAAAAGCGTGTCACTTGCTCAAAATGGATGGCTCATTCCTCAAAAGCAAGTATTCATGTCAACGAAAGTGTCAGTGTCATCAAGATGAAAAGTCCTGACACCATTGTTTGTGAACAAGATAGTCAAATGGCTTTGTCATGTTTTCATTATGACAGTTTACTCTGTAAATGTTTTCCAATGCAAAAAAGTCAGATCTTGGTGACACTACCTGAAAATGCTCAAGACAGCACTATATACTATTTGCACAGCCATTTGAAAACTACAGTAAAGTTAGACATTACTGTATTTAGTGAGGTAACTGAGTACAAGACACTGAATATGTATGTTTCACATTTTTACTATGCTCTTTGCAATTCTAATTTGTTCACAGCATTGTGCAAAAGAAAAAATACACCCTTATTTACAACAAACATAAACTCCCTTTGGGTAGAGCTGTGCACAACTGTAAACAATATTACAGTACATATTGGAACTGAACATATAACATACATAGTACTGTAAATCATTCATGCACATCCAGACATTCCTCTCTGTCTGGCCACATAGTTTCATCTACATCACAGCAAATATCATCTCTTGCAATGCAGCGAGGAAAGTATCTCCTCGAGTGGCGAATCCACCCTCTGCAGGACTCTGCTGTGATGTCATCACATGCTGCATCCATGGCCACTAGCAGGGCCATTTGGGTATGTGGATGCCGGTCATATACCTTCCACCTCCAGGAAGAGAAAAATTCCTCTATTGGATTTAGGAATGGTAAGTAGGGAGGGAGATATTCCACCAGCATCCTATCATGTGCTGCAAACCACTGTCTGACGACATCTGAGTGGTGAAAACGCACATTATCCCAAACAACAACATGCTTATTCAGATGGTCTTCAGTTAGACCCCTCTCATTCTCAGGGATTATGTACAGGGACATAATGTGTCTAAAAAAGTCAGCAGATGTTGAGTGTTGTATGGACCAAGACGGGGGATATGGGTGAGGACGCCGTTTTCTGAGATGGCTGCACACATAGTAATATTCCCTCCTTGTTGGCCTGGGACATCAATGGTTGCTCTCTGTCCAATGCGATTCCCACCACGTCTTCTACCTTTTCCCAGATTGAAACCCGCCTCATCAAGGTATATGAATGTGTGCAGCGGTTCCCTGGCCTCCAGCTCCAGTACACGCTTTATGACAGAAGAGGGAGCGAGAAAAACTATAACAACTTTTCCTGTGTAACATAATGCATTTTGGACAACATATTGTACAGTATGCACTGTGAATACACATACACAGAACTGTCATGTAAGTGTAGTGCATGACACTACACAAAGTAAACAGTTTACAGCACTGAACATTAGAGTATGCATAGAACACATACATGTTTTACCTGCACATACTGGTGACGGATCTCCTTCACTCTGTCGCTGTTCCGTTCAAATGGCACATTGTACAATTGTTTCATGCGCATTTCATTTCTCCTGAGCACTCTGTCAATTGTAGCGATTGAAACAGATTCAATATTCCCAAAGATGTTGTCATCCTCTATACCAGCACTTTGCATCTCTCTCAACCTTATGGCATTGTTTGCAATCACCATTGCACAAATGGCTTCCTCTTGTTGCGGAGTAAAAAGGGGCCCTCTTCCACCTCTGCAAGGTTGTCTTGCAATCCTATGTGGTGCATAGTGAGTAAAATTACAGTAAATATGGCAAATCTTTACTGTAACACTACTTTACACTACAATACACTAAATCTGTGATGCAGTAAAGCTGTAAGTCTAAATGTAAAATGTAAAAAGTGACAAGTTCTTGTTCCACTGCAAGTTTCATGTATGACACAATGACAGTAGTGCAGTGCAGATTGTTTGGTGCTGAATTACTGGCCATTTATACACACCTGTTCCCCCCACGAAATGTTTGAATAATTAAATTTACAGTGGTTCTCCCAACATTTGGCTGCACCCATTGTGAGGCCGTGATTGACAACATGATCCACAATTGTAGCCCTGATTTCATCAGGAATCCGCCTATGTACTTGGCCTCTTCCCCTTCCTCCCCGCACCCTCACCCTTCTTCCACGAGGCTGACCTTCCATTTTTGTGTCACAGTATTGTAGAAATGGTACACACTATGCCCTGCTTAGTTCATATATGCTTGTGAAGTGGGGGTTTATGGGATTCAGCTCTGAGTGATTGTAGAGAAGTGGCTTATCATTGGTTGCAACTAATGCTTCACACACCCCTTCTCATCAGTGAAAGCTGAGGTTCACCTGAGAGAAATTGTTCAATTTAGGAGACATTTTCAGGAAAAACAGATTAAAAAAAAATTATAAAATTTGCTTGACAGATTTTGACAACTAGTTCAACATTTTTGTATGTAATGATTCAAGCACTGAAATGAGGACTATTAGTTTTATATGGAATGACTATTCAGCATTCACTAGTATAGTTAATTTTGACTGACATGACATAAGCAAATGATAATGTTATAAAACACCAGAGAGTTGTATGAAAGCAATTGATGCATGTCCAAAAGCATTTGCAATTTGTTAGAAGGAATGAGAAACTGCTACTATGATGTGCACAAATGACTAAATGTTGTGGAGGTTGAACTAACTGTTGTGCAAATGTTAATAGTGATGTGAGAAATGCACCAAAGCGACTGAGAAAAACTGTAATAGAAATTAGATGATGATGATGATGACAACAATAGCCACGATGGGGGAATAATAATAATAATAGCAATAATATCAGTGATACTAGCAATGGAAGTCTAGCAGGACAATGAGAGACAGACAGACAGACAGACAGACAGACGTGCACAGCAACAACTACACTAATAGTAGTGACTGATGATGATGAACATGAAAAAGATGATGACAGCGACAACAACGATGGGGGACAATGAGCAGTGACAATAGTAGTAATAGTAACTGTAGTAATAATAATAGTAATAATAATAATAACAATAATATCAGTGATATTAGCAATGGCAGTCTAGCAGGACCATGGCAGGAGGCTCCACCAGGATCCATGAGAACCTGCGAGACGAGAAAGCACAAGAACTCCGGGGAAGAAGTGAAGTTAGTAACATGCATTAATGGGACATGAATGAGTGCAGAAAGAGAGAGGAAGAGAGGAGCTCAGTGCATCATGGGAAACCCCCTGATAGTCTGGGCCTATAGCAGCATAACTAAGGGATGGTTCAGGACTCACCAGCATGGATGTCTGCATTAGCACTGCTAGCACTGTTAGCTGTGTTTTGCAGGTGTGAAGAGAACCTCTCTCTCTCTCTCTCTCACCCCAACTGGTCGAGACAGACGACCACCCACCTAGAGCCGGAGGATCTGTCCTAGGTTTCTGCCTTTTAACAGGCAGTTTTTCCTTGCCCTTGTCGCCAAGTGCTTGCTCATGGTGGTACTGTTGGGTCTCTGTAATTAATGTTAAAGAGTTCGGTCTAGACCTGCTCTATTTGAAAAGTGTCCTGAGATAACTTCTGTTATGAATTGGCGCTATACAAATAAAATTGAATTGAATTGAATTGAATTGAACCGTGCAGCCGTCCAATGAGAAAGAGAACTGGAGTTTCCTCTTGCCTTCGTCACAGATCTTCTTCTTCTGTCTCCAGGTTTCCTGGTTAGAGAGACGGTGACCAACTGTTGCCATCGGCGACGCTTGGAGAGTGACTCTGCCCCTCCGCCACATGTCAGAAGGAAGCACATGATCAGTGACATCATCCAACGCTACCACAGCCGCCGCTCTGAACCCGCCTTCTACTGCAGCCTGTTCCAGGACCCCTGACCCCCCTGCTGCCACCCCGACCTCTATCCACTGTCACCAACAACCAGCTGTTACCATAGTGACCTGGTGTTTTATTTAACTAGTTACTGCTGCCTCTATCAGGAGTTACAAGCAGGCTTTAGAGTGATGATGTCACAGGAGTGATAATGATCACAGCTGCTTATTGATCAAACTGACAATAAAATAACCCACTGATCAGATCATCTGATCAATAAGATGATCAATCTGATCAGAGAATAGAAACACAGCAGAAAGATCATCTCCTTGAGTGACCATGGTAACTGGATAATGTAGTAACCATGACAACCAGAGGAGGGACAGGAGGAGGAAGAGGAGGTTTGAGGGGCAGTCTTTTATCAAGTGCAGTGATGTAAACACACATGTGGATCAGAACTGTTTGATATTATTGATGATAATCAATAAAATACTTTGTCATTGATGTAACTCTATCATCAATAATCTGACTGCATGTTATGTATAATTCATAGTCTGTCGATCAGTATCAATAACAGCAGAGAACAGCTGATCAACTGATCAAAGAACCCAAACAGTGAATTCAATAACTGCAGAAAGTTTGATTATTTCCTGTCAATATTGATCAGAGATGAGTTTTCCTGATATTTTGTTACATTCTCTGTCTGTATTCTGTATTTTTATCATTTTAACAAACAGACTTAATATTCTTCTTTCTGACAGATTCACTGTTTTCATTGTTCTATCAGCTGTTTGGTTGTTTTCTAATGCAGGACGAGGCAGTTGATCATGTACACTAACCTGGGCCAGAATCTAATGCATAAAGGTTTTATTGGAGTCAACACACCAACAAATCAATGAGTGTGGTCCTGAGACCATTATATATTGTATAGGAGCTAAATCACCATCACAGTCATTTTCTTTATTGATACTTGACAAATCAGAAAATTATTATAATTTAAAATAATGAATTGATTTCTATTGACACACCTTCAGCTCTGGCTTTCTTCTGTTCTGACTATTCCTGATCTTTTTTGTAAAAGTAATTTAGAGAAGCTCCCACATTTTGCATATTTGACACAGCACACGTGATATATAATAAATAGAAATAAATGTACTTATCTTTCCAACTTCATCATTGCACTTGATTTTTACCACCACAAAACCCTGCCCAATGTGACCAGTGATGACATGTATAGCCGCATGTCGTCATTCCACCGCTGGCTGTCGAGGTGGTGTCCAGCAAACGATGTGGGCTTCATTGATAACTGGAAGCCTTTTTGGGGAAAACCTGGTCTGATTAGGAGAGACGGCATCCATCCCACTTTGGATGGAGCGGCTCTCTTATCTAGAAATATGGCGAAGTTTATTTCTAAAACCTGACAGTCCAGAGTTAGGACCAGGAAGCAGAGCTGCTGTCTCCTGGACCGTACTCTGATTTTATATCGGAATTTTCAGAGTTTCTATCAAGTTTAGTCCTTAAATCAGATAAAGTAATTATTGTAGGTGATTTTAATATTCATGTGGATGTTGACAATGACAGCCTTAGCAATGCATTTATATCATTAATAGACTCAATTGGCTTCTGTCAGAGTGTAAATAAACCAACCCATTGTTTTAATCACACTCTTGACCTTGTTTTATCATATGGCATTGATATTAAACATTTAATAGTCTTCCCACATAATCCTTTCCTATCTGACCATTATTTAATAACTTTTGAATTCATACTATTAGATTATAAGCCATTAGGCAAAACTTCCTACAGCAGATGTCTATCTGACAGTGCTGTAGCTAAATTTAAGGAGGAGATTCCTTCAGTGTTTAATTCAATGCCATGTCTGAATTTAACAGAGTCCTATAACAACTTTAGTCCCTCTGAAATTGATAATCTTGTCGATAGTGCTACAGGCTCACTACGATCAACATTAGACTCTATCGCTCCTATAAAAAGGAAATTATTAAAACATAGGAGACTAGCACCTTGGTATGACCACCAAACCCGCCAGTTAAAGCAAATAGCTAGGAAATCTGAAAGGAAATGGCGCTCTTCCAAATTATCAGAATATCGCTCAAATTGGCAAGATGATCTTAAGATTTATAGAAAGGCCCTCCGTAATTCCAGAGGAGCCTATTACTCAGCACTAATAGAAGAAAATAAGAACAACCCTAGGTTCCTCTTCAGCACTGTAGCCAGGCTGACAGAGAGTCACAGCTCTATCGAGCCACATATCCCCATAAACTTAAGTAGCAATGACTTCATGAGCTTCTTCTATAATAAAATTATTACTATTAGAGAAAAAATTAATCACCAACTGCCATCAACGGTTATCAGTGGCTCTCCAAGTTCAGGGACTTCTGTCAATGTAAACTTAGATGTATATTTAGACTGTTTTTCTGCTATCGATCTTCATCAGTTAACTTCAATCATTTCTTCATCGAAGCCATCAACCTGTCTGTTAGACCCGATCCCAACTAGGCTGCTTAAAGAAGTTGTTCCCTTAATTGGCACTTCTTTACTGGATATGATTAATCTTTCTTTATTATCAGGATATGTACCACAGTCCTTTAAAGTAGCTGTAATTAAACCCCTTCTTAAAAAGTCTACTCTTGACCCAGGGGTTTTAGCCAACTATAGACCGATTTCTAACCTCCCGTTCCTCTCTAAGATTCTGGAGAAAGTAGTCGCCAAAGAGTTGTGTGACTTTCTACATAACAATAGTTTATTTGAGGATTTTCAGTCAGGATTTAGAGTTCATCATAGCACAGAGACAGCTCTGGTTAAAGTTAATAATGACCTTCTGACTGCTTCTGACAATGGACTTGTCTCTGTACTTGTATTATTAGATCTTAGTGCTGCATTTGACACCATTGACCATGATATTCTTTTACAGAGACTTGAGCATCAAATTGGCATTAAAGGAACTGCCCTAAGCTGGTTTAAGTCATACTTATCAGATTGTTCTCAGTTTGTACATGTTAACGATGAATCCTCCATAAATACTAAAGTTAGTCATGGAGTTCCACAAGGTTCTGTACTTGGACCAATACTATTTACTTTATATATGCTCCCTTTAGGCAACATTATTAGGAATCACTCCATTAACTTTCACTGTTATGCAGATGATACGCAGTTATATCTATCAATCAAACCCAATGAAATTAATCAATTATCTAAATTACAAACATGTCTTAAGGACATAAAATCCTGGATGACCTGCAATTTTCTGATGTTAAACTCAGAAAAAAACGAAATTCTTGTTCTTGGCCCCAAAAACCTTAGAGACTCACTGTCTAAAGATATAGTTACTCTAGATGGCATTAACTTGGCCTCTAGCACCACTGTCAGGAATCTTGGAGTTATCTTTGATCAGGATTTGTCATTTAACTCCCACATAAAGCAGACCTCTAGGACTGCCTTCTTTCATTTACGTAATATTAGAAAAATTAGACACATCCTATCACAGACAGATGCAGAAAAACTAATCCATGCATTTGTTACTTCAAGGCTGGATTACTGCAACTCTTTATTATCAGGTTGCCCCAATAAGTCCATTAAAACGCTCCAATTAATTCAGAACGCTGCAGCACGAGTACTGACAGGAACTAGAAAAAGAGATCACATCTCTCCTGTACTAGCTACTCTGCATTGGCTCCCTATAAAATGTAGAATTGAATTTAAAATACTCCTCCTCACCTATAAAGCTCTTCATGGTCAGGCCCCTTCATATCTTAAAGAGCTCATAGTACCCTATTACCCCACTAGAACACTACGTTCTCTGAATGCTGGGCTACTTGTGGTTCCTATAGTCTCTAAAAAGTAGAACAGGAGCCAGAGCCTTCAGTTACCAAGCTCCTCTCCTGTGGAACCAGCTTCCAGTTGTGGTTCGGGAGGCAGACACCCTCACCACATTCAAGAGTAGGCTTAAGACATTCCTCTTTGATAAAGCTTATAGTTAGGGCTGGATCAGGTGAGTCCTGAACCATCCCTTAGTTATGCTGCTATAGGCCTAGACTATCGGGGGGATTTCCCATGGTGCACTGAGCTACTCTCTTCCTCTCTCTTTCTGCACTCATTCATGTCCCTTTAATGCATGTTACTAACTCCACTTCTTCCCCGGAGTTCTTGTGCTTTCTCGTCTCGCAGGTTCTCATGGATCCTGGTGGAGCCTCCTGCCATGGTCCTGCTTGACTGCCATTGCCAATACTGTTGTTGCTGTGCACCTGTCTGTCTGTCTGTCTGTCTGTCGCTCTCTCTCTCTCTCTCTCTCTCTCTCTCTCTCTCTCTCTCTCTCTCTCTCACCCCAACTGGTCGAGACAGACGACCACCCACCTAGAGCCGGAGGATCTGTCCTAGGTTTCTGCCTTTTAACAGGCAGTTTTTCCTTGCCCTTGTCGCCAAGTGCTTGCTCATGGTGGTACTGTTGGGTCTCTGTAATTAATGTTAAAGAGTTCGGTCTAGACCTGCTCTATTTGAAAAGTGTCCTGAGATAACTTCTGTTATGAATTGGCGCTATACAAATAAAATTGAATTGAATTGAATTGAATTGAATTGAATTGGTCGTCTGTCTCGACCAGTTGGGGTGAGAGAGAGAGAGAGAGAGAGAGAGAGAGAGAGAGAGAGAGAGAGAGCGACAGACAGACAGACAGGTGCACAGCAACAACAGTATTGGCAATGGCAGTCAAGCAGGACCATGGCAGGAGGCTCCACCAGGATCCATGAGAACCTGCGAGACGAGAAAGCACAAGAACTCCGGGGAAGAAGTGGAGTTAGTAACATGCATTAAAGGGACATGAATGAGTGCAGAAAGAGAGAGGAAGAGAGTAGCTCAGTGCACCATGGGAAATCCCCCGATAGTCTAGACTTCTTTACTGGATATGATTAATCTTTCTTTATTATCAGGATATGTACCACAGTCCTTTAAAGTAGCTGTAATTAAACCCCTTCTTAAAAAGTCCACTCTTGACCCAGGGGTTTTAGCTAACTATAGACCGATTTCTAACCTCCCCTTCCTCTCTAAGATTCTGGAGAAAGTAGTCGCCAAAGAGTTGTGTGAATTTCTACATAACAATAGTTTATTTGAGGATTTTCAGTCAGGATTTAGAGTTCATCATAGCACAGAGACAGCTCTGGTTAAAGTTAATAATGACCTTCTGACTGCTTCTGACAATGGACTTGTCTCTGTACTTGTATTATTAGATCTTAGTGCTGCATTTGACACCATTGAGAACTCCGGGGAAGAAGTGAAGTTAGTAACATGCATTAATGGAACATGAATGAGTGCAGAAAGAGAGAGGAAGGGAGGAGCTCAGTGCACCATGGGAAATCCCCCGATAGTCTAGGCCTATAGCAGCATAACTAAGGGATGGTTCAGGACTCACCTGATCCAGCCCTAACTATAAGCTTTATCAAAGAGGAATGTCTTAAGCCTACTCTTGAATGTGGTGAGGGTGTCTGCCTCCCGAACACTTTTAGAGACTATAGGAACCACAAGTAGCCCAGCATTCAGAGAACGTAATGTTCTAGTGGGGTAATAGGGTACTATGAGCTCTTTAAGATATGAAGGGGCCTGACCATGAAGAGCTTAATAGGTGAGGAGGAGGATTTTAAATTCTATTCTACATTTTACAGGGAGCCAGTGCAGAGAAGCTAGTACAGGACAGATGTGATCTCTTTTTCCAGTTCCTGTCAGTCCTTGTGCTGCAGCGTTCTGAATTAATTGGAGCGTTTTAATGGACTTATTGGGGCAACCTGATAATAAAGAGTTGCAATAATCCAGCCTTGAAGTAACAAATGCATGGATTAGTTTTTCTGCATCTGTCTGTGATAGTATGTGTCTAATTTTTGTAATATTACGTAAATGAAAGAAGGCGGTCCTAGAGGTCTGCTTTATTTGGGAGTTAAATGACAAATCCTGATCAAAGATAACTCCAAGATTCCTGACAGTGGTGCTAGAGGCCAAGTTAATGCCATCTAGAGTAACTATATCTTTAGACAGTGAGTCTCTAAGGTTTTTGGGGCCAAGAACAAGAATTTCGTTTTTTTCTGAGTTTAACATCAGAAAATTGCAGGTCATCCAGGATTTTATGTCCTTAAGACATGTTTGTAATTTAGATAATTGATTAATTTCATCGGGCTTGATTGATAGATATAACTGCGTATCATCTGCATACATTGTTATGTAGAAAGTCACACAACTCTTTGGCGACTACTTTCTCCAGAATCTTAGAGAGGAACGGGAGGTTAGAAATCGGTCTATAGTTGGCTAAAACCCCTGGGTCAAGAGTGGGCTTTTTAAGAAGGGGTTTAATTACAGCTACTTTAAAGGACTGTGGTACATATCCTGATAATAAAGAAAGATTAATCATATCCAGTAAAGAAGTGCCAATTAAGGGAACAACTTCTTTAAGCAGCCTAGTTGGGATCGGGTCTAATAGACAGGTTGATGGCTTCGATGAAGAAATGATTGAAGTTAACTGATGAAGATCGATAGCAGAAAAACAGTCTAAATATATATCTAAGTTTACATTGGCAGAAGTCCCTGAACTGATAGCTGTTGATGGCAGTTGGTGATTCATTTTTCCTCTAATAGTAATAATTTTATTATAGAAGAAGCTCATGAAGTCGTTGCTACTTAAGTTTATGGGGATATGTGGCTCAATAGAGCTGTGACTCTCTGTCAGCCTGGCTACAGTGCTGAAGAGGAACCTAGGGTTGTTCTTATTTTCTTCTATTAGTGCTGAGTAATAGGCTCCTCTGGCATTACGGAGGGCCTTTCTATAGGTTTTAAGATTACCATGCCAAATTGAGCGATATTCTGATAATTTGGAAGAGCGCCATTTCCTTTCAGATTTCCTAGCTATTTGTTTTAACTGGCGGGTTTGGTGGTTGTACCAAGGTGCTAGTCTCCTATGTTTTAAAATTTCCTTTTTATAGGAGCGATAGAGTCTAATGTTGATCGTAGTGAGCCTGTAGCACTATCGACAAGATTATCAATTTCAGAGGGACTAAAGTCGTTATAGGACTCTGTTAAATTCAGACATGGCATTGAATTAAACACTGAAGGAATCTCCTCCTTAAATTTAGCTACAGCACTGTCAGATAGACATCTGCTGTAGGAAGTTTAGTCTAATAGCTTATAATCTAATAATATAAATTCAAAAGTTATTAAATAATGGTCAGATAGGAAAGGATTATGTGGGAAGACTATTAAATGTTCAATATCAATGCCATATGATAGAACAAGGTCAAGAGTGTGATTAAAACAATGAGTTGGTTTATTTACACAACATAAATGCGTTACTAAGGCTGTCACTGTTAACATCCACATGAATATTAAAATCACCTACAATAATTACTTTATCTGATTTAAGGACTAAACTTGATAAAAACTCTGAGAATTCAGATATAAAATGAGAGTACGGTCCAGGAGCGCGGTACACTATAACAAATAGAACTGGCTGCAACTTCTGTTATGAATTGGCGCTATACAAATAAAACTGAATTGAATTGAAACAGTTAATGCTGGTTCTGATAGAAAGGAGTCAGAACACACAGTGCAGAGCAGTCTGTTGGTCTGGGACCAGTCAGGGAGTCCAGTGCTCACAGTGTTACTGCTGATCAATACACACAATAAGCCTATATCTCAGTATTTCACTGATTTCTGTGAATAAAACTGAAATAGTTATTTATAGTCTATATTATTATTGAAGATGTGAACACATAAAAAAGAAGCCTATTAAGTCTGTATGAATGTTACAAATTATATCGATCAATAAAGGATTCTTATATTATTTTATTATTATTATTTTACAAACTGTTTGGGTTCCTCCTGAAACCTCCTCCTCCTCCTGTCTCTCCTTTGGTTGTCATGGTTGCCACATTATCCAGTTACCATGGGGACACACAAAGACGGTCCTTCGGCTGTGTTTGTTTTCTCTGATCAGATTGATCATCTCATCTGATCAGTTTATTACAGATTATTTTATCGTCAATTTGATCAATTACCGTCGGTGACGTCATTCCGCTTCCTCTTTGTGCGGAAGTCGGTGAGAGAAAAAAAACTGCTGATCAGCCAATCTGCTATCCGTCTGTCTCTCTGCGGGTTTTATTATCCTCCATCCCTCCGTCCTCCATCCACCTACCTCCCCCTCTTTTCACCTTCTCCTCCTCCTGTTCTCTCCATCGTTCCTCCTCCTCCTGTTGTTCCTCCGCTCCGCAGCAGCGATGCTCCCACCGGGCCTGGCCGGTGTTGGCGCTTTGTGTTCGGGCTGGCAGTAGATCGGCTCGTCGGTCATGGTGCAGAAGTCCCGGAACGGCGGGGTGTTCCCCGGAGCGCAGGCCGACCAGAAGAAACTGAAGGTCGGCTTCGTGGGTCTGGAGGCCGGGGGTACCGAGTCCAGCAGGGACGGAGCTCTGCTCATAGCAGGTAAACAACAACAACAACAACAACAACACTGTTGCTGTTAATGTGTATTCATATTTAATTAATATTTAATATGAATTTAGTGAATAAGAATTGGATTTAATAATCAATATATTGTTAAATCAATGCTCCTAACTAAGATTCTTTTTTTTCTACATTTAATTTGTAAACACTTTGGAACAAATCTGCACTTTGGGAAGAAGACACAATATTAATAATAACAATAAATCTGAGAAATATGACACATATTGAGTGAAAAACAATGACAATATGAAAAATATCAAATAACATCAATAAAGCTGAAACAGTTTATCCATAAATTAATTGTTAAAATATCAATCTGTTAATAGTTTTTTTTAAATAATTATTTATTGTTTATTTCTTATTTCTGTAATTCCAGCCTCATATATTCTGTTTTTCTTTGTTTTATACCAGTAATCCAGTTAAAGAACTATTAAAGTCATGATGTTGTGAAATAGTTATGGGGTCTGTACCAAACAAACATCTAGAGAACCAGATTTAGAGTGTCTGCAGAACATCATTATAATTCATTACAATGATGTTTGTCACATTTTGCCTTTAAAAAATGACAGTTTCTGCAGTTTGCATATTGCTCTTGGCTATATTGGGATTAATTGGTCAGCAATATTAAATATTCAAATCCGATCTGTGAACAATTCAAAATATGTGAACAAGGTTTTAGACAAAAAGGAGGAATTCAAGTCTTTTCATTACACTGGGCCTCTAACTTCATCCAACTTTACTTCCAACACTTTAATAACACATATTTATGTATTATTAAAGTGCCAATATAAAGGTCCTTATGGGATCTAGTTTATTTGTTTGCATTCAGTTTATTCGGTATTCTATATAACTTTATTTGATATATTTTAGTTACATTTGACCTAAAATTGTTTCTTGATGTTTATGAAGGCCAAGAATCAATTTGTAGTACTACCTGTGTCCAGGTGGGGAGGAGGGTCCACGGCGGCAGCGCAGCAGTGTCTCTGGAGGAAAGAAACCTCCGAAACGAAACGCCCTCTATAGGCGACTGCAGAACTTCCTGTACAACGTTCTGGAGAGACCTCGAGGATGGGCCTTCATCTATCACGCCTACGTGTAAATACCTGTCCGTTACACCTGACATACACTGTTTCTGTCGTCTGATTGGTTCTTGTAGGCCTGATGCTGCAGTCATGTGATGTGATGTTAGTGGACGAGAGCTGAACGGTGAACTTAGGCAAGGCCAGCAGAGAAAAGCGATAGCGGTAGACGACATTTAATTAAAATATTTAAACTGTGATGGAATTTACACAAGTTACATAACTCCTTCATATAACGAGACAATGTGGACCATCTGGACAACGAGACACTAATAATTCATAAATTACATCAAATTATATACACATCATATTTTATGTAATATATTTATTCTTACTTACATACGTTTTAACCAATATGAAATCATCATAGTAACATATGTATCGTGTGTGGTTTTGCCGTCCTGACTTTACGTCAGTCTGTTGAGTCAATGATCAACTGTTATCTCTGTGAGGAAGCTGCTGTCCGTCTGTCTGAATCCATGTGAATGCAGCATGTATGCTGGTGTTACAGGTGGGACTGGTCTCTTTATGTGACAGGTCTCTTTATGGGACAGACCTCTTTATGGGACTGGCCTCTATATGGGAAAGGTCTCTTTATGGGACAGGCCTCTATATGGGACTGGCCTCTATATGGGAAAGGTCTCTTTATGGGACAGGCCTCTATATGGGACTGGCCTCTATATGGGAAAGGTCTCTTTATGGGACAGGCCTCTATATGGGACTGGCCTCTATATGGGAAAGGTCTCTTTATGGGACAGGCCTCTATATGGGACTGGCCTCTATATGGGACAGGTCTCTATATGGGACAGGTCTCTGTAATTATTAATAAGGAGGTGAAAATGTCCTTCTGGATGCTAAAATTAATTGACAGATTAATTGATTGATGATGAGACAAAAAGTTCAAAATATGTAAAAACATGAGAACAGCTGCTTTTATACTAATTTAGAAATAGATTTCATGGTAAAAACAACCTGAGCTGTATGAATAAATCACATTAATTACCTTCATTCTGAAACAATTATGATTATTGATTGATGTTAACTGCTCTCAGTTCAGTTTATAGTAACCGCCAGGGATCAATAACTGCTCTCAGACCTCATCTCAGGTCAGCATTCAGTTCAGCGTGTGTTCTCTGCTCAGGTTCCTGCTGGTGTTCTCCTGCTTGGTTCTGTCTGTGTTCTCCACCATCAAAGAGTACGAGAAGAGTTCAGAGGACGCTCTTTACATTCTGGTAAAAATACACATTGTCTACCTTCTGCCTGATCTTTAAATAAAACTCAGCCTCCTGTCTGCAGTTTGATGATATTTTTATCATCTGTGAATGACAGCTTTAATTTCACAGTCAGCAGCAACTAGTTATTATATAATACAAATAATAATTAACATATTACTTTATTATCACTTTAACACACGGGGTGGCTGTGGCTCAGAGGTAGAGCGTCCACTAATCGGAAAGTTGGCGGTTCGAACCCCAGCTCCTCTCACTGCATGTCAAAGTGTCCTTGAGCAAGATACTGAATCCCAAATTGCTCCTGATGCTGTGCTCAGTGTGTGAGTCTGTGTGAATGCTTAGTTTCCGTTCTGGTGAGCAATTGGCAGCTTGCATGGCAGCCACTGTCATCAGTGTATGAATGTGTGAATGGGGCATGTAGTGTACGGCGCATTAAGTGGTCAAAAGACTAGAAAGGCGCTATATAAGTACAGTCCAGTAACCATTTAAACCGTCAGTTTCTTATAGGAGTGCCCCCCAATAGTCAGTGACAGAATCGTCAGTCTCTGAGAGTCTCAGTGACACTTTCCATCAGTCTGACAGAAACCAAACCAACATTAAACTGCACCATGACAGCAGCTGAATGTCCTCATCCACTGCTCACTGAGGCCCTGTTTACACCATTAAACCATAAACACTTGTTGTGGTTTGGAGTGTCGTTTACATGACATGTTTTGTGGCCTGGCACTGTTACTGCCATCATCTACTGCGAAGAACCCAAACAGTGAACCCAATAAAATAAAATAATATAAGAATCCTTTATTGATTTATATAATTTTTAACAAGCATACAGACTTAATAGGTTTCTTTTTCTATTTGTTCACATCTTCAATAATAACATACACTATAAAAAACTATTTCTGTTTTATTCACAGAAATCAGTGAAATTGATTACAAGTCACTATACATACATACATACATACATACATACATACATACGTATATATATACAGTATATATATATACACATACATCCACCAATCAGCAGTAACACTGTGAGGACTTGACTCTCTGACTGGTCCCAGACCAACAGTCTGCTCTGCACTGTGTGTTCTGACCCCTTTCTATCAGAACCAGCATTAACTGTTTCAGTAGTTTGAGCTACAGTAGCTCGTCTGTTGGATCGGACCACACGGGCCAGCCTTCACTCCCCACCTGCATCAATGAGCCTTGGCCCCCATGACCCTGTCTCTGGTTCTGTTCCTTCCTTGGACCACTTTTGATAGGTACTGACCTCTGCAGACCGGGACCAGTCGTCTAGCGTCTAGATAAGCAGATAATCAGTGTTATTCACTGGCAGTGCTCATAATGTTATGGCTGCTTTGGTAGGTCAGACTGCAGCACCAAATGGCTCACTAATGAGAGGTTAAATGGTAAATGGACTGTACTTATATATCGCCTTTCTAGTCTTTCTGATCACTCAAAGCGCTTTACAATACATGCCACATTCACCCATTCACACGCCGATGATTAGTGAACGACCCACTCTACTTCTCAGCTGTCTGCCCCAGTAAAGCACAGACAGATGGAAGCAGTGGTAGAACACAGTGTGTTCTGAAGGTCAATGATATAACGCCTGTGCAGACAGAGCTCGCTGTGATTAGTTGTTGACTTTATTCATTTAAATCCACCTCCATCTGCCTAATAGTCTTGTTCTGTTGAAAGTTCTCACAACAAACAAAACACCTATGTAATATCTTTCTTTTTGTTGTTGTTGTTGTTGTGTAACAGGAGGTGGTGACCATCGTGGTGTTCGGGGTGGAGTACATGGTGAGGATCTGGGCTGCAGGTTGCTGCTGTCGGTACAGAGGATGGAGAGGAAGACTCAAGTTCGCCAGAAAACCTTTCTGTGTCATCGGTGAGTTTAACAACACATCACATACTGACACATAGGTGAGTCTGTACTACAGAGCCATTGAAGCCACACTGTATCTCAATCCATGTGTGTGTATTTAGATTGTAAGTGTGTAAAAGAATGTACAAATCTGTATTGAGATTTGTAAATGTGCAGACAAATCTGTAAATGTGTAGACAAATCTGTAAATGTGTAGACAAATCTGACCTCATTGCGCAAGGTGGCTAACAAATTTAACACTGTACCATTGTCCAACAACACAGAATCGACAGAATGGCAGGAAACGTTGAAAACGCACTAGAAAATAGAAAAACTTAAGATGGGCCCATTTTCTATTCAGTTGGATGAAAGTCTGACTGTGGCAGAGGAGCTAATACTCACTATGTATGTACAGTACATTGAGAAACTGAGCTGAAACAAAACATGAAACAAGAGCTGAAACTTCTTATGTCTGTCAATCTCACAACCACTACAAGAGGAGAAGATATTTTCAGTGTAGTTGACATAAACTTTGCAGAGCAAAATCTTCCCAATGACAACAGAGTGGAATGCTGCCTCGATGATGGGAAATAAGGGGTTTAATAAGCGTTTAAAGAGAAAGCGCCCCACTGCATGTTTCACTGTATGATACACATACAAGCACTTGCAGGCAAACATCTCTGTGAGGAACTGAACGAAGCCTTAAAGTCTGTGGTAAAAATATTCAAGTTTATTAAAACTTGCTCGCACAAACAGATCTTGGTGCAGCTGTGCGAGGACAAGGCGCACCAGACACGCCTCCATCATACTGAGGTGTGCCGGCTTTCCTGGTTTCATTAGGATACTTGTTGGATACCAGCAGTTTTGGCTTGTGAAAAGACCTAGTGTCGCTCCAAAACCTGCACTTCAGAGACTGCTTTCAGTGTGCTGGTCACCATCAAAGACACGCAACAACTCAATGTGAACAATGACTTCTGTTTGGCTAAAACCAAACTCACAGCCCAGAAGGTGCAGCAGAGCTTAAATAGCTGCTGTATGTATGATAATACACTAAAATATAATATATATAATTATAATAGTCACTGGAAATAATATGTTCAGAATTATAAAATACAAACTTCACCAGGTTCATTGTAAGTGTAATTGTTCAGTGTTGTTGTTGACCTGTCTGTCTCTCTGACCTGTCTCTCTCTCTTTCTGCAGACATCATGGTGCTGATAGCGTCAATCTCAGTGCTGGCTGCAGGGACTCAGGGGAACGTGTTCGCCACGTCGGCCATCAGGTCTCTTCGGTTCCTTCAGATTCTGAGGATGATCCGGATGGACCGCCGCGGAGGAACCTGGAAACTGCTGGGATCAGTCGTCTACGCCCACAGCAAGGTATGATGGGAAATACTACTGACTCTACTACTGACACTGCTGACACTGCTGACACTACTGACACTACTACAGACACTGCTACTGACACTACTACAGACACTGCTACTGACACTACTGACACTACAGTTCAATGATAGTTTTAAAAACTTGTTCAAACTGATGGTCTCACTGTCTCTCTGTGTGTCTCACTGTCTCTATGTGTCTCACTGTCTCTCAGTGTGTCTCACTGTCTCTGTGTCTCACTGTCTATATGAGTCTCACTGTCTCTCTGTGTGTCTCACTGTCTCTATGTGTCTCACTGTCTCTCAGTGTGTCTCACTGTCTCTGTGTCTCACTGTCTATATGAGTCTCACTGTCTCTATGTGTCTCACTGTCTATATGAGTCCCACTGTCACTATGTGTCTCACTGCCTCTTTATGTGTCTCACTGTGTCAGCAGTATTGGTTTATTGATATTATCTTGCTGACAGGGATCTTGACATCTGATCGCTTTCATTTATCCTGGACTGTATTGATCAGTCATTGATTACTTCTCCATCCTCCTTCAGTCTAACCTCTGTTATAGTCTCTCTCTCAATTTATCACATTGTATTATAATGTCTCTCTCTCTCTCTGTATTATAATGTGTGTCTCTCTCTCTCTCTCTCTCTCTCTCTCTGTATTGTAATGACTCTCTCTGCAGGAGCTGATCACAGCGTGGTACATTGGCTTCCTGTGTCTCATTCTGGCCAGTTTCCTTGTTTATTTGGCAGAAAAAGAAGACAATGAACAGTTTGAGACGTACGCTGACGCCCTCTGGTGGGGACTGGTGAGACATTACACAGTGATTATCTGGCACTGGTTCACAAGGCCAATAAATAAAACTGTCAGCAGCAGTTGTGAGTGTGTCTGCTGATCGATGTCAGAGCTCCTCGCTGTGATGTTGAAATTTGTTCTGTTCTATAACTCTCACACATCCTGCTGTGAATTTCCTGTAGAGCAGACTTATACATAAGTTTTCTTTGTTTTGGTATCAGCATGATATACTGAAGTCAACCACTGCTAACAATGCACACACAGACAGGTAGTTCAGGTAAAGGATAGCAACTGACAGCACACACCACAATGTGACCTCTGGCTGTCAGCTTAAAACCAGCATAAAATCACTTTCAAAGAACAACTTTGGTGTAAATCTGATACTTAAAGGTTTCCGTTTATACTGGAAAAGAGCAACTGTCTCACCCCCTGAGATGGGACGATCTGATTGGTCTGTGTCTGTCTCTGCCAGATCACTTTGACAACCATTGGTTATGGAGACAAGTTCCCCATCACCTGGAACGGACGTCTGCTGGCTGCAACCTTCACTCTGATTGGAGTCTCCTTCTTCGCTTTGCCCGCTGTGAGTCCCTCTAACATCTACCTGAGTTTATCTCATACAGGTGAACCTCCACCTGGTTCAGCCCAGCTCACACATCTGTCTGTCTGTCTGTCTGTCTGTGTCTCAGGGGATCCTGGGTTCTGGTTTTGCTCTTAAGGTCCAGGAGCAGCACAGACAGAAGCACTTTGAGAAGAGACGGAACCCAGCAGCTGGACTCATACAGGTGAATTTGAACTAACATCTGCAGAGCTTTTAAAGTATTTTTTGGGGGGCTTTTATTGCCTTTATGGTAGTGACAGCTGAAGATAGACAGGGAAGGGGGGCAGAGAGAGAGGGGATGACATGCAGCAAAGGGCGGCAGGTCGGATTCGAATCCTGGGCCACTGCAGCAAGGACTCAGCCTCGGGACATAGGTCGCCAGCTCTACCCAATGAGTCCTTTTCCTGAAGCCATTTCCATGGAAACAGTCGTCTGCTCTCTGTGTGTGCAGGCAGCGTGGAGAGTTTACGCCACAAACCTGAGCCGAACTGATCTGACTTCAACCTGGGATTATTATGAGAGGACCGTCTCTGTCCCCATGTACAGGTGAGACTGTCCACCTGCAGGACATCAATGTGTCCTATAAAGTCTTCTTCTAATATTCTTACACTCCTGTCTGTGTCTGCAGGTTGATCCCACCACTCAATCAGCTGGACTTACTGAGGAACCTCAAGAACAAATCAGGACTCTCGTTCAGGTCTGCAATGCGTATAAGTACACAAAGTACTGCGGCTGCCGCAGTAAGACAAAGTACTGCGGCAGCCGCAGTAACACAAAGTACTGCAACTCCTGCAGTAACACAAAGTACTGCAACTCCTGCAGTAACACAAAGTACTGCAACTCCTGCAGTAACACAAAGTACTGCAACTCCTGCAGTAACACAAAGTACTGCAACTCCTGCACTAACACAAAGTACTGCAACTCCTGCACTAACACAAAGTACTGCGGCTGCCGCAGTAACACAAAGTACTGCGGCTGGCGCAGTAACACAAAGTACTGCAACTCCTGCAGTAACACAAAGTACTGCAACTCCTGCACTAACACAAAGTACTGCGGCTGCCGCAGTAACACAAAGTACTGCGGCTGGCGCAGTAACACAAAGTACTGCAACTCCTGCAGTAACACAAAGTACTGCGGCTGCCGCAGTAACACAGAGTACTGCAACTCCCGCAGTAACACAAAGTACTGCGGCTGGCGCAGTAACACAAAGTACTGCGGCTGGCGCAGTAACACAAAGTACTGCAACTCCCGCAGTAACACAAAGTACTGCGGCTGCTGCAGTAACACAAAGTACTGCAACTCCCGCAGTAACACAAAGTACTGCGGCTGCTGCAGTAACACAAAGTACTGCAACTCCTGCAGCTGTGGCTCAGAGGTGAGCGGGTCGTCCACTAATTGGAAGGTCGGTGGTTGAATTTTCTGTCTCCTTCCTCCACATATCGAATTGTTCTTGAGCAAGATACTGAACCCCAAATTGCTCCTGATGCTATGCATCGGTGTGTGAATGTTAATTAATGAGTTAGTTTCCGTTTGCCATCACTGTGTGAATGTGTGTGAATGGATAAATGTGGCATGTGGTGTAAAAGTGCTTTGAGTGGTTGGAGGACTAGAAAGGCGCTATACAAGTACAGGTCCATTTACCATTTAACACAAGGTACTATAACTGCTGTACTGTCTGTGTGTCTGTCTGCAGGAAGGATGTCCAACCTGAACCGTCTCCCAGGTCAGTGTCTAGTATCACTAATTTAATATATATATATATAATATATCTTTTTGCTGCTTGAACAGCCCTTCAATCAGACGTTCCAGTGAGAGATATAAAAACAGAGACATCACTCTCTGCCTATATGTAACGTTTGTTAGTTTCTTTGAAGAGACCTCAGTGAATCCCTGTGCCCTATTGAACCATCCATAGCTCATAGATGAGAGCAGAAATGGCAGGTTTCCTTTTTTATCTTTCAGAAAAACATAAGATGATGAACAGTTTGAGACATACGCCCTCTGGTGGGGACCGGTGAGACCTTACTGACTGACTATCTGGCATTGGCTCGAGAGAGGCTGATAAATAAAGATGTCAGCAGCAGGTTGTGGATTAGGGTTAGGGTTTCTGCATTTTATTTCCAAGCACAACAACAGCGCTGTTTACTGACTGCACAGGGGATTTATGATCCTAATAGATAAAATCAATACAGTATTTTTATTTTATCATATTGAATTAACAAAGATCAGAATTTATATTTACTGTCAGATTAGACTTTCACCCAAAAGTGGGCGTGGCTTGATGCAGGGCCAAAGTACCTGGTAGAACTCCTCTCATCTATGGTCCATTTAGAGTGTGTCCAACTTCATTTTTGTTAGTTAACTGTGCAATAAATCTGTCTGTGTGTCTGTCTGTCTCTCTGTCTGTCTGTCTCTTGCCCCTGCAGTCAGAAGGTCAGTCTGAAAGAGAGGGTCTTCTCATCCCCCCGAAGTTCAGGAACCAAAGGGAAAGGTTCTCCTCAGCATGGTGGGTGTTAGAGCTGAAACTTTGCCGTTGTTGGAGAGGATTAGGGTGAAAGGTGGATCAGATCACGTCTCTGTCAGACAAGGTCTCTGTTGAGTACTGAAGTGTGCTTGAGCAAGACACACAACAGATAATCTACGAACCAATATGAACCAGATCATGTACTAACCAATAAGAAGCAGATAATCCACCAACCAGTAAGAACCAAGGACAGTGACCAATATGAACCAGGACAAAAACCCAGTATTCAGCAGAAACAATGGTTCTGATTCAGTCCCTTCCTTTACCACCTTCTTTCCATCTTGTCTCTTGTGGTTCCAGTTGGCCCTGGTGTTGCTCCTGGTGTTGCTTCTGGAGCCCCTGGAGGTCCTGGAGGCCTGGGGAGTGTCCAGGCCTTGCGTCGGTCCCCCAGCATGGAACCCAGTCTGGAGGACAGTCCCAGCAAGGTTCCAAAGAGCTGGAGCTTTGGAGAACGTAGCAGAACCCGACAGGCCTTCAGGATCCGAGGAGCCGCCTCCCGCCAAAACTCTGAGGGTAAGATGTGCGAGTCCAACAAATCCGAACAGTCCGCCTGTAAGCATGAACCAACCAATGATATCATCACAACCACCCATCAATCAGTCTCCAGCTGTTAGCCACACAGAGCTAGGATTCATTAGTAAGCTAGCTAGCAACAGCATGGCTGTTTCTAGGGGCGGGGCCTCACTGATTTCTGGGTAATTTGGATCGTAACCTCAGACACGTCAAATCAAACCGACTTCATTACAAAAACACAAAGAAAGAGAAAAGAATGTGAGGGAGGATGGAAGGAAAGGAAAGGAGGAGAAAGGTTTTAGTATCTTTTTATTTTACTGCTGCTACAACTACATATTTGGACGTGTCCCAGGGGGTAGAGCGGGTCGTCCACTAATCAGAATGTTGGTGGTTTGATCCCCAGCTCCTCAGGCTGCTTGTCGAAGTGTACTTGAGCAAAATACTGAACCCATAATCGCTCCTGAATATGGCTGTAAAAGCCCTTTGAGTGGACGGAAGACTAGAAAAGAAACTATATAGGTCTTCATGCTAAGCTAGGCTAGTAGTCCCCCTGCTTCCAGTCTTTATGCTAAGCTAGGCTAACTGTTTCCCCTGCTTACAGTCTTTGTGCTAAGCTAGGTTAATAGTTCCTCCTGCTTCCAGTCTTTGTGCTAAGCTAGGCTAGGCGTCCCCCTGCTTCCAGTCTTTGTGCTAAGCTAGGCTAACTGTTTCCCCTGCTTCCAGTCTTTGTGCTAAGCTAGGTTAATAGTTTCTCCTGCTTCCAGTCTTCGTGCTAAGCTAGGCTAATAGTTCCCCCTCCTTCCAGTCTTTGTACTAAGGTAGGCTAACTTTTCCCCCTGCTTCCAGTCTTTATGCTAAGCTAGGCTAATAGTTCCCCCTGCTTCCAGTCTTCGTGCTAAGCTAGGCTAACATGAACTTGATGATGATGATGAGTAGAGTGTAATGAAGGTTTGTCTCCTCATCTTCCTCCTCCTGTAGTGCTGATAGAGATGCAGGATGAAGAGTTCAGACAGAAGAGCTCCCCAGGTCAGCACACACATACACACACACACACACACACACACACACACACACACACACACACACACACACACACACACACACACACACACACACACACGTAGTGAGTGATGATTGTACCATATTCATGTTGTCTGTTCTGTGTTAACAATTATCTTTTTTATGCCTCATGTCTTTCTTTCTTTCTTTTTCTGTCTGTCTGTCTGTCTGTCTGTCTGTCTCAGTTTAACTTCACTCAAATGTCTAATAGGATAAAATTATGAGATTTTTTTATCCAAAAGGTCAAAGGTCAACTTCCTTGTGACATCCCAATGTTCTGCAGAACCGCAGTAACTGACGAACAGAAGGACACATTGGGAAACTGTGCTGACTGTACAGACCAACTGACTGCTGCGAGCACGTTGTCGTGGCAGAAAAACAGCAGAAACAGAGAAAAACTGAAATAAGCAAAAATCTTGTTGTGCTGTTAAAATCCAAATGGTGTTGATTCAAGCCGACAATAAATTATGCTAACGGTACAAAGCTAAAGTTAGCTTTGCAAGGCAGCAGCATCCTTTGTGTTGTAGGAACATTACAGATATAGTGAGACATTCTGAATATGATTATTTATTTTACAGCGTCAGTCGCTGTTTCAGACAATGCCTGTGACGGTGCGAGTGCTGCAGTTAGCTTAACACTGCTAGCTACTGCACAATCGCTCTGTCTGACAGCAGTTAGGCTCCGCCCACAGAATACATCATGACTGAAGGTGTACAGTTCTAAAAATACACTTAAGACCTTTTATTAAATCTCACTACATATATTGTATGAGTGGTGCTTTATGGAGCCAGGACGGTGAGTTGAAACTGAAAATCAGTGACACTGAAAAAAAACTGACATTGTAAAAAAAATCTGAAGATTGTCATTGAAAAATACAAAATAATCCCAATAGAATAAAATAATAAGATTTTAAGATTTTAATTATTTTAATTTGTTTCTTTTTTCAGTGCCAATACTTGTTTCAATTCCAATACAACTGTTTTCAATACAAATGTTTCAATGCCAATGTTTCCTTTTTCAGTACTGGTTTTGTTTTCAATGCCAATTCTTTTTTTTGGATGCCAAATTTTAAACTCACCGTCCTGGCTCCATAGTGGTTAGTATCTTTAGTATTTCAGTCGGCTGCTGCTCCACATGCTTCAGGTAGGGGGCACTGAATGACACAGGGATGTTGTTGTTTCAGATGCCAGCCTGCCAGGAGAAGACATGGCCGATGACAACAAGAGCTGCCACTGTGAGTTTGTCCCTCAGGATCTAACCCCGGGGTTAAAGGTCACCATCAGAGCCATCTGGTACGAAATGTTTTCATCCAGAGAATCTTTTTGTTTTATCTGCTCATCGTTCATCGCTTTACTCACCATTTATTTGCTGCTTAATAAGCACTGAATTCATTCTGCTTTTTATTCACATTATTATTTTTTATTTTTATTTTGCTCACCCCAGGGTCAAAGGTCACCATCAGCTGTTGGGTAAGAGCAGTCAGTCTGACCTCCACTTAGCTTCATTGTTTTCTGTTTCACTGTTTTCTGTTGTCTGCCACTAAAGCTCATTGGTAAGACATTCTTTGGTTATTATTATTACTATTATTATTATTTTTGTTCTTGTCCTTGTTGTTGTCCTCATGGTTGGTGGTGTCTGTCTCAGTGTCGTTTAGTCCTGTAAATTTAAGATTCGCCCTGCTCCGTGAATATGCAGCTGGTCTATTTTTGACAGAAGCAGTACAGAGCAGATCTCACTGGTAGGGAGTCAGACACAGATCAGACAATCTACTCAATTTTCTAAATAAAATACAGTGTACTAAACTTGAATTTCACAACATTGTGGCACCAGACAGGAAGTCAGAGGACATTTCCCTTTTTAAGGACAAAATATGTCAAGTATAAGTTAATGTTGGGCAGGAAGACGCTTGGCTTCTGAAATGCTGTCGTGGGATTTGAAGACACCAACATGGTGGCTCATTTGGTAACTTTCTCTCATATTACAACCAGCCAAAATGTGTTTCTGAAAATATTTTAAGTGAGAAACAGATCGTGAGTTTCCACAGTTTCAATGGAGACCCCTGATATGCATACAGTAGCCCGGCTCAGCAAATGAGGAGTGGCCAACGTGACGCTTCGTTTCCAGAAACACACTGAATGGAAATGACTGATCCTGTAGATGAATACTGTTGGGTCTCTGTAAATAATGTTATAAAGAGTTCGGTCTAGACCTGCTCTATTTGAAAAGTGTCCTGAGATAACTTGATGAATTGGCGCTATACAAATAAAATTGATTTCAATTGAATTCAATTGAATACCTTTACTTTCACTGGGTCTGTGTTTCCTGGTCTGGGATCGAGTGCACCCAGTTCTTATGATCTGTGATCCATACAGCAGTGTTCATGGTTCAGGAGGTTTCTACCGGGAGCCCAATGATCCACAGAGGTCTCCTCCTCTCCAACACAAACAGACCCGCTGATTAAAACCACTAAACACACTGAATAAAGCAGTTCCACCTTAAACACACTGAATAAAGCAGTTCCACCTTAAAAATCACTGCTTCTCCCACGCTGTTGGACAGACAAAGGACGTCCTGGAGGGGCTGCGAGTAGAGCTAATGCTAACGTTAGCTGCTAATGCTAATGTTAGCATCAGCTTGTTTCTGTGATAACTTAAGATCCAGACGTCCGATGACTAAAATCCTTCATCCGTTTCAAGTCTAGAGTTAAAAGCAAGATCTAAACAGTGTATGGCAAACAGTCAATGTGTGACAGCTTCTGATTATTGATTATTGATTGAATCAGCTCCATGTAGAAAATAGCTCTAGAGTTTATACACTGTTTATTGATTATAGGTTATTGATTTTAGAGCCGTACACTGAAATCATGTACACTTTGACTTTGGACATTTTCAGGGGTCCAACTGGAACCCTGGCGTGTTTGTCGTCATAGAAACAGATCATAAGATTGTGATGTTTATTGCAACAGATGAATCTTGTCCACAGAGACCAGTTCAGACTAGACCACATCAGTCAGTGCCTGAGAGCTCCACTGGAGCTCCTCCCAGTCCGTGACTTCCTGTTTCTTTCTCTCGCAGTATCATGCGTTTCATGGTGTCTAAGAGGAAGTTTAAGGAGAGTCTTCGTCCCTATGATGTCATGGATGTGATTGAACAGTATTCAGCCGGACACCTGGACATGCTCGCCCGCATCAAGAACCTCCAGTCCAGGTAAAACTTCTGCCCCCTCACATCTATATTTTAGGTTGATAAGAAAAACTTTTTTGATCCCACACAGCAGGGTATGAAAGTGCTATTGTTATTCTATTGATTATTGGAATTGATTAGTGCTATTATCATCATCAACATCATCATCATCATCATCATCCGCTTATCCGGGGTCGTGTCGCGGGGGTAGCAGGTCCAGCAAAGGACGCCAAACTTCCCTTTCCCTGGCCACATCATCCAACTCTGACTTGGGGATCCTGAGGCGTTCTCAGGCCAGTGTGGAGATATAATCTCACCACCTGGTCCTCGGTCTGCCCCGTGGCCTCCTCCCAGCTGGACGTGCCAGGAACACCTCCCTTGCGAGTTGCCCTGGAGGCATCCTCACCAGATGACCAAACCACCTCATCTGGCTCCTTTCTACACGAAGGAGCAGCGGCTCTACTCCGAGTCCCTCGTGGATGACCGAGCTTCTCACCCTATGCCTAAAGAAGATAACGGCCACCATCCTGAGGAAACCCATTTTGGCTGCTTGTACCCGCAATCTCGTTCTTTTGGTCATGACCCATCTCTCATGACCATAGTTGAGGGTAGGAACAAAGATCGACCAGTACATACTCTTTTCGTGACAACAGTGCGATAAAGCGACCACAATACCCCCCCCTGCTGCAATCTCCCGCTCCATTGTACCCTCACTCATAAACAAAACCCAGAGGTACTTGAACTCCTTCACTTGGGGTAAGGACTCATTCCCTACCCGGAGTAGACAATCCACCATTTTCCTGCTGAGGACCTAATGCTGTTAACTTATATATATGTATATATATATATATATATATATATGTATATATATATATATTTGAATGTAGAATCTTTTATCTCCCCGTCAGAAGTTCTACTGTTTTCATTTAGAACACATTAGAAGACATTTTTAACATCTGAAATGCAGATTTAGATAATTTTGGTAATAATGTGAATATTAACAGCAGTATTGATGTTTGATCACAGATATTTCAATTTACAGCTGCACCTTTTTTTTTTTACACTGGGTGAGGTCACTGTGAGTTTGACTTCTGCTGTCTCCTGATTGGCAGGGTGGACCAGATCGTTGGCAGAGGAACTCCAATTGCAGACAAAGACCGTCCCAAAGCAGCCAGTGAAGAGCTTCCTGAGGACCCGAGCATGATGGGACGGTTGGGAAAGGTGGAGAAGCAGGTAACCAATGGCAACCATCAGTTGCTGAAAGCTCTTGAACTCTGATTGGTGACTTCTGGTCTCCTGTCCCACAGGTCCTGTCCATGGAGAGGAAGTTGGACTTCCTGGTTAACATCTACATCCAGCGAATGGGAATCCCTCAGGCTGAAACTGACGCTTACTTTGGATCCAAGGAGCCAGAACCGGCCCCGCCCTACCACAGTCCAGTGGATCAGCTGGAGAAGAGCCAGTCCATCTCCAAGATCCTGCAGTCAGTGTCTCCTATAAGTCATAAAGCGCATTTTTACATGTTATTGTTATTGGCTGGGTGTTAACTTGTTGTTTACATGTTGTTTACATGTTGTGTAGGGTGTTGCCTGGTGACCACGTTGAGAAGAGTCGCTTGGTGACGAAGATGGTCCGCTCCAGCAGCTCCACTGGCCACAGGAATGACAACGCCCCGACCTGTCCTCCCTCTACTTCCTGGCAGCCAGTCAGCTCCCAGCTCCACCAGCAGGCGCAGCCCCCTCCCCAGCGTAGCCACGGCAACACTCCAAGTCCAGTGGGAGATGGGTCTCTGGTACGACTCCCACCTCCTCCGGCTGGAGAGAGACATGGTGGGAACCGTTCAAACCGGCACAGCACCGGAGACCGAGGGGGGGCGGAGAGACCAGAGAGGGGAAGAGAGGGGGCCAACGGAACCACAAGAGGAGCAGGAGGAAGAGGGGAGGAGGTGAAGCCGGACAGTGACACCTCCATCTCCATCCCGTCTGTGGACCATGAGGAGCTGGAGCGCTCATTCAGTGGATTTTCCATCTCGCAGTCCAGAGAGAATCTGGATTTCCTCAACAGCAGCTTCTACCCATCATCTGCCAATCCGGACCACCAAGGAGAAAGAGGAGGAGGAGGCGGAGGAGGAGGCGGAGGAGGAGGCGGCACTGCCCGCTGCGCTACCGTCCGGCCCTACATCGCAGAGGGGGAGTCGGACTCTGATTCGGAGCTTTGTGCCCCCTCGCCCCACTCAGACCGGGCCTGGACTGGAACCAAGTAGAGTCGAAGGTGAACTAGAGCCAAAACCAGCAGAAACAATGAAATGTGAAACAAAGATAACGGATGGAGGTCTACAATGAATCATCATGGGAGCTGTGAACAGTACTGGGTGTTTGATGTCATTATGATATCATAAATTGGACATTTTATTCATGTGAATGTTTTAACTTGTACAGCAAATGATTGGTTCACTGCTGAGACACGCTCACACCTGATTGGTTCACTGCTGGGAAACGCTCACATCTGATTGGTTTACTGCTGTGACACGCTCACACCTGATTGGTTGCTTGATCCATGTTTAAGACTTGTAAACACTATTACCACAACCACAGCTCACTGTTAAACGTCTTCATTACATTTTAAAACACGACACAAAGCATCCTGGGAACAACAAGTATGACAGACTGACACGTCACCATGGCAACAGACTGTTGTTGTTTATTTGAGCTTTCAGCTGACATCAGGTGGGATCGAAGGTAAAAAATGGAAAGCATCCATTGTTTGTTCTGCCCCCTACAGGCCAAAAGCTGGAACTACATTGACTGATCGAAAAGGTTGTGATAATTTTACAAAAACACGATTCCTAAAAAATGTGAATGTACACAAAAGGCAAACATCTACAAACTGTTTATTTAGATTATTTATAGTTGAATATGTCCATGTACAGTCAACAATAACAATTGAAAATGTGATTTAAAGGTTACAGACACCAAATATATGAATTCCACTGAGTCAAAAGCTGAGATGGAAGTTAGTTTACATGCACATTCAGGCCTTATTCTGAAAAAGACAATAATCCTCCTACCCACACTGGATAATGGAAAGAAATATTCACTAATATTCCCTGTTTACTCTAAAAGTGAACAGCTGGAGCTCATTCAGACATTTTGTCCCTTTGGGTCAGAAAGGGTTTTTTCTAGTTTTCCAGTGGTAGAGAACTCAGCCTCCCTCTTTCACCTTCTAGAAAACCTGTTAAAGTCTTTATAATGTTGAACAGCAGAAATGTGGGCTGTTGTTTTGTCTTACCAAAATAAGAGCCTCTTTTACTGCATATACAAGTACCTCATCCGTGAACTACACACAATAAAATACACAATATAGACACGACCAATGCGGCGACAATTAACATAACAGCTCCCGTGTCCCAGTGCCAGAAATTAACCAGTACTCACAAGTCATGAGTACCCTTTCCACCTCTGGTGATCCGCTCCCACCACTGAGGTCCAGACCTCAGTAACTGTTCCAGAGGTACACAATAAAAGTCAGGAAATTATTAGGGTTAGGGTTAAACCTAACTGACACTGGTGAGGTCCTAAAACAAAACAGCACTCATTAAAATGGATAAAAGGAAATTGTTGTTGTTCAGGTTCAGTGTTGAGCTGGAATCGTACTGTCGGAGTTACTGCACATGTTCAATAATAATAATTAATTTGGCATACAAATATTATATGCATTAAATTAATGATACCACGCTAACAGAGTCTTAGATGTGAAAAGTTAAATACTCAAGTACAGATTAGCAACGTCCCGATCCGATCGCAACGATTGGTATCGACACCAATCAAGAAATTTTTTAAGTGATTGTATCAGCTATGTTGAGCTTAATTGATCCGATCTTTTGTTTACGTCTTTTACTCACTTACGGTGCAGCCATCATCAACTTCCTGCTGTTTCTTTCCTCCACTCTGCTCTGTGTAAGTGAGCAGAAGAGATTTGACACAACCACTCAACACGCAACTGCAACAAGTCCCACAAATAAAAAGCCAATAAGAGTAATTAATGAACGTGATCCGCACAAAAGATGTAGAGACAATGGAAATAAACAGTCAGCAGAATACAGACGGTTAAATGAATAACACTGAAGCAACAAACACTGGAGAAACTCTTTTGTTTGTCAAACATATACAATGGACTGATTTTAGTAGCTTTAATGTAAGTGTGCACTGTAGGCTATGATCTAAAAAATAATATTATGGGATCTGGACTTGGTTATATTAAATTAAATATTAGTTTGAAAGTATTTGTTCCATTTGTACTACTGACTTCCCTCTGCTGGTTATATGTGAGAACTCGTGAAGGACTAACTGATGAGATTCTCAGGTAAACAAACCTCACAAATAACGACCACTAACGTTAGTCTTTGTAGTAGTAAACTGATGTGAACATGAACACAGCACGCCATGGTGTCATAACATTAGTATGTATATACAATGTAATCAATAAGTAATTATCAATAATAAATCCCAACAGTTGAAATTATTGATCCATTCAGCAGGTGGCAGCCGCGCCTCAGGACACCAAAATAAAGCAACCGTACCAAAATAAGAGCTTCTTTAACTGCTTGTACTTATGAGGTTTCAGCCGATCAATCAGCTCTCCATTGATTGGCCGATTGAACGTTTCATTTGAATGTAATCACACTTTATTGGCTGTTTCTATGGAGACCATTGTTTGCTCAGAAGCAGAACCATTTAAACCTGTTCTGGATTCATGTTTGAACACAACTTTATTTAAACAGGATAAAAACTTGTTTCAGCATCTGTCAAAGATCAAACTGTCTGATTGTATTTGAATAAAACTTTTAACCATCTTTACAAACCAAAACTTTATTTTAAACTTCTTTAATGAACAAAACAACTGACAGATTTACACAGTGAACACAAAGATGACGATGTGGAGAAGAAAACTGCAGCTCCAGGCGTCCATCTTGGCTCTCACTTCTTCTTGAACCTAACGGACAGAAGGAGTGTTAGCCATCTTTGTTTCACATCTATGTGGGACACCCAGAGAGCAACAGAAAGGTAAAACATACCTGGAGCCACCTGGACGCTTCCTGTCCAAACCGAGACGCTTCCGGTCTGAGAAGGATGGTCTGTAACGAGACAGGCGTACAGGTGAGACAGGTAGGTGTTACTGATCATTCTGAAAACTGGTTATTTTATTTCAATTCAATTCAATTCAGTTTTATTTGTATAGTGCCAATTCACAACAGAAGTTATCTCAGGACACTTTTCAAATACAACTCATTATAGCATTATTTACAGAGACCCAACAGTTCCCACCACGAGCAAGACCGTAGCAATTTTATAAATGTTTGTTGGTTAAAGACAGAGTGTGGAGATCAATGAACAGAACTCCATATGTTTGACATAGTGGAAATTAAAGAGTTGGCTGTGGGGTAACAGGGTAGAAGGTAGCAAGTAGTAGGATAGCAGGGTAATAGGATGGCAGGTAGCAGGGTAGTAGAGTAGCAGGGTAGTGGGGTCAGTTACAAAGATGGTAGTTATCTCAATTGTTGAGACCCTCAAACGTTTCAATATCACTCAAAACAGGCATCAACAATCAAAAAGAACCGAGGTTCCCTGAGGGACTCCACAAGGTAGCTCTGAGTTATTCCTATTAACAGATAAAGGTCCTTTAAAAGGTCCAGTGTGTAGCATTCAGTGCTATCTAGTGGTGAGCTGCAGATTGCAACTAACTGAATACTGCCCAGCCTTTACGGTGGATAATATACTGCAGTACAGTCTCTATCTAGATCCAGTGTTTGGTTCGTCTGTTCTGGGCTACCATACAAACATGGTGGTTCAACATGGCTGACTCTCTCAGAAGAGGACCTGCTCCCTCTGTAGATAAAAACGTCTTATTCTAAGGTAACAAACACACAATGATTCTTATAATCAGCTGATTAAACACTAATGGAAACACACTATGGATATTATATTAATGCGACACACCGGAGCTTTAATCAATATAAACATACAGACAGACAGGTGTACAGACAGACAGGTGTACTAACCCCGCTCTGTAGTGTTTCAGAGCCTTACTGCTGGTGTTGGTGAGCTCTTTATCAAACACGGACTTCTTTCCTCCTCTTCCTGCTTTCTGATTGGCTGCTGCACACAGACACAGTTAGTACACTGATGCAGTATTTCTGTCTACTGATGCAGTATTTCTGTGTACTGATGCAGTATTTCTGTCTACTGATGCAGTATTTCTGTCTACTGATGCAGTACTGATGTAGAATTTCTGTGTACAGATGCAGTATTTCTGTGTGCTGATGTAGTATTGATGCAGTATTTCTGTCTACTGATGCAGTATTTCTGTGTACTGATGCAGTATTTCTGTGTACTGATGCAGTATTGATGCAGTATTTCTGTGTACTGATGTAGTATTTCTGTGTACTGATGTAGTGTTTCTGTGTACTGATGTAGTGTTTCTGTGTGCTGATGCAGTATTTCTGTGTACTGATGCAGTATTGATGCAGTATTTCTGTGTACTGATGTAGTGTTTCTGTGTGCTGATGTAGTATTTCTGTGTACTGATGCAGTATTTCTGTCTACTGATGCAGTATTTCTGTCTACTGATGCAGTATTGATGCAGTATTTCTGTGTACTGATGTAGTGTTTCTGTGTACTGATGTAGTGTTTCTGTGTGCTGATGTAGTATTGATGCAGTATTTCTGTGTACTGATGCAGTATTTCTGTGTACTGATGCAGTATTTCTGTGGACTGATGCAGTATTTCTGTGGACTGATGCAGTATTTCTGTGGACTGATGTAGTATTGATGCAGTATTTCTGTGTACTGATGCAGTATTTCTGTGCACTGATGTAGTATTGATGCAGTATTTCTGTGTACTGATGTAGTGTTTCTGTGTACTGATGTAGTGTTTCTGTGTACTGATGTAGTGTTTCTGTGTACTGATGCAGTATTTCTGTGTACTGATGCAGTATTTCTGTGTACTGATGCAGTATTTCTGTGTACTGATGCAGTATTTCTGTGTGCTGATGTAGTATTGATGCAGTATTTCTGTGTACTGATGCAGTATTTCTGTGTACTGATGCAGTATTTCTGTGGACTGATGCAGTATTTCTGTGGACTGATGTAGTATTGATGCAGTATTTCTGTGTACTGATGCAGTATTTCTGTGTACTGATGTAGTATTGATGCAGTATTTCTGTGTACTGATGTAGTGTTTCTGTGTACTGATGTAGTGTTTCTGTGTACTGATGTAGTGTTTCTGTGTACTGATGTAGTATTGATGCAGTATTTCTGTGTACTGATGCAGTACTGATGTAGTATTGATGCAGTATTTCTGTGTACTGATGCAGTGTTTCTGTGTACCTGCCGGCGGCGTCTCGTCCTCCACCATCGCTCTCGCTCTCTTTGGTCGTCTCTCTCTCTTTGCTGCCCGCTCAGCGAACATCTGAGCCTTCAGGATCTCGAACTGAGCGCGCTCCTCAGACTGACACAGACAAAGATCTTCAATGGTAAACCGAACTCTCACTCTGAGACAAAAACTGAAGTCAATCAAAATGTGTCTGCAGCAGCTCCACAGAGATTGATTGAGTAACTTCTGATAAACAAATTGCCGACTGTGGATCTCTTCCTTTATTTTCACACAAATCCCGTTCTGAACTTCTTCTACAGAGTTCAGTCCCCAGCAGATCACACTGATTATTGATTGATCAGTATTATTATTATTGATACCGTCAGCTCCTTCTTCCTGCCATCCTTCAGGAACTTTTCTCTCTTCTTCTTCCCTCTGAGAGCGAGATCGAACTCCTGCAGAGCCTTCGACACTGAGGAAGAAGAGGAGCAGTTACAATACAGAGTACTGCAGAGTACTACTACCGCAGTATAGAGTGTGTATTAATACTCACTGCGGCTCTGTTTCCTTTCCTGTTGAGTCTGAAACCAAACTCTCTGAGAGTCAGTGGAGGCCGAGCCATCGAGACGCTTCTGAGCCACACTCAACTACACACACACACACACACACACACACACACACACACACACACACACACACACGTGTTTATTTTGTTGATGTACATTATTAGAGCAGTGGTGGACAGGTGTATAGGGTGGACAGAGGTATAGGGTGGAAGGGCGTATAGCGTCGACAGGTGTACAGGGCTTAGAGCTGCTCAGGTGTACCTTGGCCTCAGATGCAGCCAGCTCTCTCTCCTCTCTTTCCAGCTTCATCACCGCCTCAACATCTTTCTCCAGTTTGGAGATCAGATCTCTGAACTTCAGGATGACTTCTGGGTGAGAGACACAGACAGAGAGACACATCACTATGACTAAACTGGAAAGGTGACACCTGTTACCGTCCCCCTGGACACTGTTTGTCTCAGGTGTGCGTACCTGGCGGCAGGACTCGAGCTTTCACGCTGCTCTTGGCTGACTTCACCACCTCCTTCAGAGTCTTCCTCTCCGACTCTCCGACCAGAGACACTGAACGCCCTGAACGCCCCGCCCTCGCCGTCCGTCCAACACGGTGGACGTAGTGCTTCACTGTGGACGGCATGGTGAAGTTAATCACCTGGGACACACAGGGAGACAGGTCAAGGAGAGAGACAGGTCAGAGAGACATAGTTACAGATCACTGATTATCTGTAGGAAAATTGCAAGAAAAAACGTGATCGGTCCTCTGACTGCGTGCAGCCTCAAGTTTTAGTCCGTTTTAATTGTCTTTAGTTAACTGCTCAATGGCCAACTTCCAACTGCTGCAAGAGAACAAGAAGTACTTTAAAGTACCTGAATAGCAGTAACTTTACTTACTATTAGTACACATTACTATCATTGACAATATATATAGACTTAAGACGTTCCTCTTTGATAACATTGACTATTTCTCTCTTCAAATCTGTTCACAAACATATTTTACTGTTTATCTGGAATACCAGATCCTGTGACCCGGCAAGCCGCCATTGTTTCCAAACCAAGAGCAGCCAATGAGAGCAGCAGCCAATGAGAGCAGCTCAACTCGCAGTACGTGACCTCCGCTGGCTGCTAAACACCAAGATGGAGACGACCATAAAGCCCAACTGGAGGTTAAGAGCTCCACAGACTGACGGGGGACCACAGAGTCACAGCTGATTAGGACAGAAGTTCTAATGAAGTCCACTCACCGTTTTGACTCCATCGATGTCGAGACCTCTGGCTGCTACATCTGTGGCCACCAAGATATCAATCTGTTCATCTTTGAAACGCCTGGAGAACAAAGAGAACAAAAGAGGTAAATACATATTTCAAATGATCAACTACAGGGCTTTTTCTCTGTATGTGTACCTGAGGTTCTCCAGTCTCTGGTTCTGGCTCAGTTCTCCATGCAGTTCTCCGACCTTAAGTCCCATCAGCCCCAGCAGGATGTGGAGTCTGTGAGCCTGCTTCCTGGTCTGAGTGAAACACATCACGTGATCCTGGAACGTCCGAGTCAGCAGGGCTGTAAGAACACACAGAGTTAGTCCTGCAGTATACAGAAGTAGTACTGCATCTTTTGCACAGATTACATTAACCAATTACTCGAGGCGAGTCAGTAGTCGGTTATTTTGAGTAGTTATCAGTACTAGTTTGTAGTATCAGTAGTACTGTACCTGCCACCACAGCCTCTCTGTCTCCCTCTCTGTTGGGTCGAATTCGGACAAACTCTTGTCGTAGAAATGGAGCCACGTCAGTGTTGCTGTTAACGAAGATTCTGATTGGCTGCTTCAACGACACCGCAGCCAGGTCCTTTACCTGGAGACAGAAAGTCACATGACACACAGTGAAACCCCTGGAGACACGAAGTCACATGACACAGTGAAACC